TCACAGTCTCTGAAACCATTGGAATGCATGCAAGTCTCGATCTAATATAGTATTCAGAGATGTATGTTTTAATGAATATCTCACCGAGTGCTTCCATTTTCATATTCCCATGTAAAGCCATGCAAGAGGAGAGTTTGTGCACCAAAAGGGATGCATCCACACCCCACACTCCCCAATATCCAGTGAGTGCTCTCTATTCATTGGGAATTCAAATCGAATGAAGCCCTCTCCATGCCTCGATGTACATGAGAATTTAGCTTTTGCGTTTATTAATAAGAAAATCGATATTTGTGTGTGTGTGTGTGTGTGTGTCAGAAGTGGGATTTTGGTGTAGGATTGGAAATGGAGGTGGACTAAATCAGGGATGTCGAAATGGGATTAACAATTCCATATGCAATATGGGTGACCAGCAGGGATTTTACACAGTACAGTGCCAGATACACCATGAAATTCTGCACAGAGACGGAGTGAGAAGGGGAGAATTATTTCACCCTTCATGCTGGAATGACATTCCCTGGGGATAGTTTGAGGAATTGGACTGAACACAATATGTCAAAAGGGTCCTGAAGCCTATTTTCCCTCTCTTTAGGGATGTGCATTGTGTGAAATCAGAGAATTAGTGCTTAACGCTGAATTAGATTTGAGATGTTCTGGCGAACTTTTCATGCCCTAATCGCGAAGAGAGAGAGAGAGAGAGTGGAAGAAACAATTTAGAGGGGAATTGTGACCCTCAAAGTGATCTCTTTGATCTCAAGAAATCCCGATTTTCCGCCTCTTGAGGAGGGTGAAGTTGATTAAGAAGCAGGAACCCCCGGTGAAGTAAATCTGATAGGGAATCTTCACACCACAACAGTTAGCAAGAGGAGATGAGATGTTGAGTTGATGAATTAACAGAGTTATCACATGATCTTGTGTAGTTACATTCTATTTATCACTCAAGTACCAATGATTTTTACTTCATTGCTCACATATTGATCACCAGGACGCGTGAACGTGTGTGTGTGTGATGTGAATCTGGGAAGAAAATCTGGATGAGAGGGTGTGAAATAAAGGAATTAATCAATCATGAATGTTTTCAGCATCGTCAATTGACTCGTGAAAAGATGGACAAGAGTGGCACGTTTTATTGACAAAATTCCTCCATTTCTCCGGCACAATAAGCGTCCGGGGGTAAAGTGCCTGGGTAGTTGACTGAGTGACCACCACGATTGCCAATGCACCACTCCACAACGCACGCCCCATTGGGGGAACATGGCCAGAATAGAATATCGTGTGGTTCCCACCATCCTCACATATCCGAACGTGTTAGTGTGTGCGGAGCATATTTACGTATGCTGGGGCCACCATTAGATTACATACGTCTGATATTGGAGGCATCTCTCCACCCATTTGACTTCCCATCGACAGTTCAGTGAAACTTCACCCCAACCGCCCGTCAGACCATATCTTTTGTCTGGGATGTTGAATGTGGATAAAAGGCATAGAGCAGAACTAATAACTAATTCAGCAATTATCGCTGTCTATTTCCATTTTCGTGCGGTTGTGGTTTTGTGTGCTGAACACATTATTGGTCAACGTGAGGAGGAGAAACGTGTGGGTACTCTCTCATGGGTAGTCGAGAGAGAGAGAGAGGATACATGCAAGATGAGACGTGTGTTTCCCTTTTCGCATATATAAAATGGGAGACGTAATGTAACGATCATTTGGTCAATTGTGTGTCTCCTTTCTCCCATCATGCACATGTCATTTTCTTTATTGCTCACCTCTCTGCCATGAGAGGGGATTTTGTATAATAAATTTATGAATATTTTTAATTAAATTCCCCAAAAGCCGTGAAGAAGGGATATTGTGATATGGAGTATGAGGAAAAATCTTGCAGCCGCTCTGCTGCCTACCTGAAATTCATCACACTCTTGTTGTTTATTGTGTCCAATCGAGTCAAACTTATCATTATGGAGCAGCGCGGGCTCTGTGTTGACTATTAAATAGCCCCCGAGGCGATATTATCGCATTCGCCTCACTAGTGCAACAGCAATCTGCCGCTGAGCTGCCGTTTTGTCGGATGAATTCCATGAAATTACCATATTTGTTGGCTGTGCTGAAGTGACTTCAGCACAGCCAACGAGCCAATTACCGGGACGTTCAATTCTTTTCTCTCTCCGGTGCCTTTTGCCAAGTGCGCGCCCCTCCTCAGCATCTCCTCAGCCTTTTGCCATTTGTACTTGAACAAGTAGCCAACATGCCAAGATGGGATTGGATTTTGCACGCAAACTCTCTCACATTGTATGAATTTTGAATTAAAATGAATTTCTTTATTCAAGAAGTGGAGAGAGGTTTAAGGGCGTCCAATTGGACTAGCTCCGGGCATTTCTCTTTGCGTGCATAATTTTGAGAATTATGCTTTTGCATTACAACTGATGCCGTTGTTAAGATACTCTATAATTATCACCATTATATACATCAATTTTGCGATTGATTCACCCCTTCCGCGGCAACATATATCCAATTCACACGTAAAAGGATCGCTTGATGTCGGTAAATACAATTGTGCTATATAGTCAATAATAAATGGTTTTATACACATATATATATATATTTATTGCTGTTTGAAAGCAATTTAACAACTTGTGGCATTAAACAAGCAATAATGATGCCGCCATTGGCCGCCGTTTTCACATTCATTTAATACCTTTTCCCTTCGTCTTCTTCGCCGCGATGGCTTGAGTGCGCAACAGTATATGCCCACACTTTTACCATCAAGCACAGGAAAAAAAGCCGTGGAGATCGCCTTTTTGCACCCTTTTGCTCCGCTTAATACCCACAATAAATGCCTTATTTGATTGTAAAATGTACAATATGTACAACATAAAGACGCGCGGGAATGAATGCTGTAAATTCAAAATGCTTGAGGATATATGCCATAGAGGAGGGGCAGTAAAGAGGTTGAGAAAATAAAAGAGCCTCCATAAAAGAGGGGAATTAAAGCCTTCAATTGCTTTCAACTTCTCAATTAAGTCAATTCAAATGCATTTTATAATTGATTGGAATCTGTTGTGTTGATATGAGTGGATTGACAGTGAATGGGCGAAGAAATAATTCCTGCAGTGATCGCGAATGTGCCCGAAATCGTGACATCTGCTGCACAGTTTAGAGGGAAAAAGCCAAACATTGATCGCATTTAACACGAATATCACCCAAGTGGTGAGATTTTCCAGTAGTCTGATATCGTAAATAACAGCGTGTCAATTAATTTAATTGTGATTTTCATCATGAAAGCCAAAGCACATAGTCTCTAATGAATTCATGATCGATCGCAATGCTCACGATCGAGAGAAAATCAAGTCCATAATTTAAGTCCAATGCGATCGTGATTATTTTTGCTTGCCGCAAACAGCTTTGCCCTCCCTATTTAAGGCATTGGCTTGTACAAAGTGTCGCAACAATGTTCAACATTTAATTCACGCTTTGGTGGCAATCAATTCAGAAAATCTCACTCGCACACAATAAATTTTCATTTAAAACAATTCATCGCAAATAGTGTGAGGTATAATTAAAAGCAACCACACTTTATGCGGCCCCAGATTGCTATCTGATAAATAAACACGAATTGTGGTCGGAAAAAATTACCTTCACAGCAACATATTAATCACTTAACACAATAGACGCGGTTTTTTGCAGTCGATGAAATTAAGTCACTGAGCGGAGTCATTTGAGTGTTATTAACTGGAGAGATTTGTTTCACGGCAGATTACATCGAGATTCGCAGGCATTTTAACTTAATGTGCAATATTTTATCGCTGAAGCGCCATTTCAGCAGATTATTTGACGATAATGGCAGATGAACTTAATTGAAGTAGAATGTGGCAATTAAAAAATGTATTTCAATGCAAATGAAGGTGTTGTTTTTTTTTCTCACAAATACTCGCAATAGTTTTGTAGATGATTGTGGGGAATGTGGATTTTTTGAATCACTTAAGCAAGACGTCATAGTCGAGTCATAAACCCGCGGTGTGTGTGCAGGCTATTATGCAAAGAGATATGAAGATGTTACATGAATGGGAATTCCATATTAATTGCCTTACTGATTAGCATTAATATTTATCTCATTTGCATCTCATTCGACCTACCATAGTGGTAATTTACTCCGCTTTATATGGTCAGGCAGTGACAATTTCGACATGCAGAAAGAGAAAATCGCTGTGGGGATAATTTCTGGTGGGTGTCGAGGCTAGGAGAGGCAGGAGCGCGAGGACAGAAATGGCCAGTGATATGGGAGAAAATATCAATTTGCATGTTAATTAATTGTCCGTTATTAGTTGATTGCAGTATCAATTGAGTGTAAATTTATTGGCACCTTTTTGACATGGTGTAGCTTTGGGTGTTCGGAAGTGTGTGGTGAAAAAAAAAAAAATGTGTGTGTACGATGAAATAAACATGAATGAGATGTGTATTAATATTGTGATTGGTAGGCTTTTTTGTTACGGTGCGCCGTTCATTTGAATATTGGTGGCGAAAAATGTTATGATTGGAATATATTGAGCGCCGTCTTTGGCGATGGGTGTTATGGCACGCACCATTTCAACGGGTTACTGGAGACGAAGAAAGAACATATTTGATAATATTAAGGAGTTATAAAATTGACAAATTTACGATTATTGGCTTGATCAATAATTGACGCTGAAATGTGATTTTTTAATTAAAGTCATTAATGCAAATGATGATGATATTTTCAAAAGAAGAGGGAAAAAAAGAACGTCAAGAAGAGATGTTGAGAAGTCACTGAAGAGATGCGGAGATGTGTGACAAAGAGGCAAACAGATATTTCTCCAACCATATCGTCGTCATTGAGCTCACTTAATGTGTTTATTGATTTGGTTAATTTAAAATGATAAAAAACAGAACAAACTCCAGTGAGTGGCGATGCCATGAGGTGATGCAAAAAGTCTGTCTTGAGAGCCGCTGGGATAAGAGTTCGGCTAATCGTCTTGCTTCCTTCACAGGGTTCTGATGGAGGGTCTGTGGTCTTCGCGTCAACTCCGACTCAAGTCACAACTGCAGCTCCCAGTCCGGCGGCGCCTAGGAAATCGGATTTCCCAACCACTGGACTGCCGCTCAGCAACGGGCCACTGGGGCTGGGAGGCAGCGCCAGTCCGGTGCCGGTGCCCCCGGGACCGGGACCCGCTCCTCCGGCCCCCTCGCCGGCTCCAGCCGCCCTGCCACCTCCGAGTCTGCCGCCACCATATCCGACACCAATGCAGGTATGAAATCTACACACTCGCCATACTCAGTCGGCTTAAGAAAAGCCAATTTCTTGAAGGAGAGTTATCTCGTGAAGCTGAGTTGAGCACTGAACGACAAGGCTAAGTGGTCCTGAGAGATCGCAACTAATTAATAATAATGGAAAAGAAAGCTTACTGATTGAAAGCTTCTGGTTTTTCAATGGGAAGTCGGACTTATTGATGTTTTTTCGGTGACAAATTGATCCAAAAAGGATACAGTCGGGATTTGATCCTAGTTATAATTGAAATAAAATGTTTCTTTAGCTTGAGAATGTTAGAATAGGTAAAAAATTGTATTTCAATTTCATTTTGAATTGAAATCTAACATTAATTTGTGGCACGTTTCAACCGGGACACTCTCATTCCCGTGCAGACGCTTTATTTCGGGGAAAAAATCGCAATAATTAAATCATCTTATGGGGATTTTAATTAAAAGCATCCACTCGTCTGTGCGCCTTTTTTTCGCCCTTGTGCGCGCTTTCCATTGTTATTTATTGTCTAATGAGAAATTTGTTCATAAGAAATGAAAGCCACACGCGGGGGTGGATCCAGAGGGCGCGGACACAGGGAGGAAGAAGGAAAGAGAGAGAGAGAGACAGACTCGATCCGGAATCGTGGGGAGATTATGAGTGAGATGGGAATAAAATTGAGGGAGAGAGATTCTATGGGCATTTTTTGTTCCTCACCAGGGATAATTGCATACTTTTTTCCTCATCATTTTTTTCCCTTCCAGCCTCTGTCTGTCTCTTGGCTGGGAGCTTTTCCGTGGTGATCTTAATCCCAGGGATTTTTGTCCGTTCCATCGTGATGAACAAAAGGCACACATTTCTATACAATGGGAGATTTTGACTTTCTTAAATGAAAATTACTTTTTATCTTCTTACGGCATTAATAAAAGCATCTTAATTCTCTGTGCGCCATGCGACGACCCTCATAAAATATGTCTGGGGCATCTTCTCGAGCGCCAGGGAAGAGAGGGAGAGAGAGAGGGAAATTGTCGTTGTGGAGTTGTGGGATGGGAGGCGACCGCATCTCAATTTGCCTCCGGAGGCGCGTCTGAGGATGACCACACACGTGAGGTGTGTGTGTTTGGGGGTGGGCGCATGTCGCTAATTTGGACAATATTATGCTAATGTATTGTCTACAAATTAATTGACACAATTAGCGTCCGGTCGTGAACACATGTTGGTTGGGAAATCAACCCTATTTAGATGCTATTGGCTCTGTCAACACTCAACTTCACACTCACTTGTCTCAAATGTGTGCTCATGAGATTGAGTACGAATCTCATTTGTCTGCTCAAAGTGGCTGTTTATGCGTGCATGAGGGTATGCTGTGTGGGGATATATTGGGCTCCAGGGACCCCCGAAATAGGGTATAATAAGTGACTAATTTTAAGGAGTTTTCACATGATGTGGAGGAAAGAAGTCGAGAGTGTGTGCTTTAACTGGAAAGCTTGTGAGCTCGTAAATGGCTTGAATCTTCACTTCATTTATAGTCTCTAATTCGCCCCTCTAGTTCAGTGGCTCTCCTGTCGCACACACAAATTTGCGGAGACGCCTCTTGATGAGCGACGGATCCTGAGGCCAAGAGTCCATTGATGTGAAGCGAGAGGGGATTGATGGGGGGAGAGATGCGCCCAAAGACCAAAGTTGAGCGTGTCTCTATAGAGCAACTACTTAGTTCCACTTGAATGGCATGCAGAGTAGAGAGAGAGTGTTTAGAGCGGCAGAAGATGAAGTTTGAATTGTTCTCGCTGTGTATGCCATCGTGGGTATGAAATGATGACATGTCTGTCCACCTATAAAGCCATCAAGAGGCCACTTCAGAGGCGAACACACTCGATGATGGCAAAAGTGTTCACAATAAGCGGCAATCAGAAAATAATAATAAAACATCATGTGTACATTAGCCTCAATGTTTGGCTCAACTCTTGTGGCCTGTGTGCTATATAAAAGCTCCACTCATTTACACATTGTGTGTAATGTTTAATGTGTGTACACGCATTTAGTGTGATAATCACTTGACTTTGAGAGGTTGAGCCTCAATGGGGAGATTAATGTCCCAAGAGCGAGAGTGGATGGCAAAGTGAACTGAAGTGGTGAAGCTGCAAATGAATCAATTGAAATGGATACAAAGAGGTGTTGTTTTTTCCCTCACTTCTACTCCCAAATCCAACAAATTGTGCTTGAAGACTTCTCAAAATCCTGTCTAAAACTCCTTCTTTGATATCAACAATTACACATTTCGGAGTATTTCCCACAATGTGTGAATGGCATGACTTTTTGTCGTTTTTCCGTGCGATTTCTTCTCACCCAACCGATAAGGCATGTGCATATAATGTTTTGTGACCCATTTCACTTTGCGCCGGCAAAAATTATCATCCACCACTTACAATTGATACATTGTGAATAATTTAGCGTGAATTGTTGAGCTTCTTATCGCACATTGCTTTTTGACTGGTGCGCTGCGCGCGGGAGCGAGAAGGAGTGAGAGTGGAGGAAAAAAGCGCGCGCGAAACGAGGGCATAAAAAGGAGGGAAATAAGAATAAAAAGCAAAACTTTATTGAGTCATAAAGTGAGATTCATAAAAATTTTCACGATTGGCGAGTATGTGTGGCTCTGTCTTGTTGCAAATAATGCAATAATGGCGCGTGATGCCTTTTTGTTTCGTTCGCCTGGGCGAAACTTTGTTGAATTTGTCGTTGAACATGAGGAGCACTAAAAATGATGATGGCACAGAGTGAAATTTAATGGGGCGGAGGGTGTATTTGAGTCAATAAAACAGTGTGAAATTGAGAAAGCTGTAAAATATCTCTTCATTCTTCCCTTCTTTTGTCCTAATTTGAACACATTTCGAGGACGATATCTCGTGCAGACAGTTTGGTGGGTATTTATTGCCGCGGTGGCGACATAAAAGAGCGCCCCGAAGGGCTTGTGAATGGCAAAGTGCACAAATTTGCACAAGAGCTCTATGTTTGTGCTGAGATACAAATCAAGAGTGGATTCACAAATTACAGCCTGATGGGCTATTGCGCTGCGGCGCATTCGCGCGGCCAGAAGGATTTTGCATTTATCACGGTGCTTTTCTTCGATTGCAGGTATCAAACGGCCCGATAAGCACACACCTGACACCAATATCGAATCCACAGCAGGCGCCGCCGCCGCAGCTGGCTGGGAAGCCGCTGACGGGCAGCAGTGGAAAGCTGCCGCCGGTATGCGCGGCGGCGGGGGGCCAAGTGGCTCCTTCGGTGGGCAAGCAGCCGCCGCAGCAAATGCCGTCGCCGCAACAGCAGCCGCAATCACCTGTGGCTCCTCAGCCGCCCGCGCCACAGGCGCCGGCGTCGGGGAAGCCGCCCTCGATGGCGGCCGTGGGGAGTTTGATGGGCGCCACGGCGGGAGCGCCGCTCACCACCATCGCCAACGGCTACTCGTCAGCCATTCCACCGATCTCCACGTCCACACATCCCATCTCCACGCCGCGCATCACGTCGCCGGGCCTGGCAACGGGACAGCAGGTGGCGGGCGCGCAGCCGGCATCCCTGCCAGTGGGCGTTCCGCAGCCGCCGCCGGCCACGGCGCCCACGGCTCCACCTCCGGCCACGCTGCCTCCGGGCTTGGACAGTGCGGCCGCGGCGAGTGGGCGGACGAACAGCCCGGCGGTGGCCACGAGTGCGGTGCTGTCCGCCGCGGCGCCGGCTGTGAATGGCAACAGCAGCGCTGTGACGTCCATCGTGGCCACCAACAGCAGTATTCCGGCGGTCTATCGGTCTGGATATCCCAATTATCCGCTGTACGCGCCGTACAGCAACCTCCATCACAGTCCGTATCTGCCGCCGGCGGTGCCCTCGCCCACGGCGTCACCGCGGACGGCGGGCGATGTGGGCCGCACCGGGGCGCCGGGACGGGGTGAATCGCCCCTTGTGATGTCAGCCGCGGCGAAGCCCGTGCGCCCCGTGACGCCCAGTTCAAATGGCAGCGCCACAGCAGGACCGCCGCCGCATGTGTCGGCGCCCTCGGCCAGCGCCACGCCACTGGTGGCCAGGACACACTCACCACGAGGGCACAGCCCAACTCGAGAACGTGATAGCTATAGGTAAGTCCGCGCGGGCATTCTGTGGCCTCTCTCGTCTCTGCTAATCATGCACACACTCCATCAATGGTTTAATTGAGAAATCGCACAGAGGCAAGAAGTGTCCAGTAATTAAGTGCAATGATTGCCATTGGGAAATCTGGGTCATTCGGGCTGCGGAGATTGAGTGAAATTTTAAGACAAATGAACTGTATTGAGTCTCTGGGATTGCCTATGCGAAAGTATCACAGAATGTCGATATCCCGTGTGTGTGTGCGCGATGTTCACGCGTGATTTTGCATGATTAGCAGAACACAGAGAGTACGAGACGTGCCACTCAATAGAGGCATCAATCAAGTGTGAGTGCAATTAATCACTGTGTGCCTATTAATTTGTCAACAGTAGCAATGTTAGTAGTCTCTCTCGATCATCGGCAACACCCGGATCGGCGCCGTACAGCGGCGGCAGCTCGAGTGGTGTCCAGCCGGGACCATCGCCAGCCTTGTACAACACGGCCGCGGGAGCCACGCAATCTCCATTGCCACCAGCGACAGTTGGTGTATCTTCTAGTCTCTCTTATCCCAAAAGTACACAATCCACATGGTCAAGGTACGGTGCATCATTCTATTTTCCCCCTCATTGCTCACCCGGTATATTTATTGGATTCTCTCTTATCCGCTTCGCAGCACTCAACTGTCTCCGGCCACAAATACATCACTGACGAGGCCTACACCACCTCCAGTTCCGGTGTCAATTCCATCACTTCACTCCTCTTCGGTCGCCACAACGCCAACATTTCCGCCACCTCTGTTCGCCGCTCCGCTCCCTCCGCCCGCCGTCACGACAACGGCCGCTGCGCCCCATCCCTTCAGTGCTGAATCTCTCTTTCAATCAAGTAAGGGTAATGTGATCAATTTTCCACCCTCTATTTCTTCTGCAGCCACACACTGATGATATATTGCGAATGAATTCCATGTGCTGCACAATTTGCTCGCGCGCCCTTATCTGGAATTCTGCACAACTGCTCTTCGTCTGATAACATTCCAATTTTTCCCATTTTCACTCCATTGAATTTCCCAACTGGAAATTATTTTGCCATTTTTTTCCACCGCCGCAAAAAAAGAGTGCAAAACTAATTTGGACAGAGTTTTCACATCATTTCTTGCTAAGTAGACTTCATCAATGGGGTGTAAACATGCAGTTTATAACGCCTCACACGGAAGGCTGTTTAGGCCCATTTCTTTGCCAACTATATTATACTTTTTAATAAATTCCAATTTTCCAATTATCACGGTTTTTGCATCGTTCACAAGCCAATAATGGTGGAGGTTTCTATTGCACTAGAATTTCGTTGTAATCACTGGTGGAAACAAGAGCAGAAAATGTGGCTGAATTGCATGAGAATAATTACTCGTGGAAAAACATGTTCTTTTCGTATGTTTTTTTTTGCTTTGAGATTAATTAATTTAGCGCTACAAATTGAATTTGTAACAAGACATTGAGAGAAAACGCAATATGATCATCAGTGGGTTTGTGCGAATTGTGGTAGAAGGAAAAAAATAGTGTATTTTGATGACTTTGGACGGTGGATTTCTCATTGAATGTGTCTTTTCTCTCTTCTGAACTCCCAACATGCACGCGTGATCGCGCAGATCAAGCAGATCTCCTGCGTCGTGAGCTGGACAATCGGTTTCTGGATCGCTCGGGTCTGAGCGCTGTGCCACCGTCGCCGTACTTGAGGCAGGAATTGCACCATCACCAGCACCAGCACACGCACCTGCATCAGCATCAGCAGATCATTGCCAGCACCCCGTCGGCCCCGGCGCCCCTCTTTCCGCCGCCCATCTTCAAAGACATCCCCAAGATGGGCGCCGTGGACTCGCCTTTCTATCGCACGGGCCTGGGCATGCCCACCTATCCGGGCTACAGCCCAAGCCTTCTGCATCCAGGTCTCAGCGGACCCACGCCATTTGTGCCACCAAGTCATTTGCCAGCATTCGCCCCAAAGGTATGATGATCAGCCGCAGTGTTATTTGGCCGCAAAAAGAGCGCCGGAGAAGAGATAATTTCTCGAGTTCACGAGAGAGCGTTTTGCATCTTGAATCTTCCATCCCAAGATGTGTTTGTGTGATGTTTTTGTGTCTGAAACACACTAAAGCATGCAACAGTTAATTAGTCAATCAATCACAATTCACAACACACTCTCATCATCATTATTTCTAGTCTCTCTAATTCATCAGTATTTTTTTTTATGGTTTCTGTGTTTAAAATGCTGTTCGTTCTTGGCTTTGTTCTTGGCGTTTAACTTCCTTTCACTCGAAAGTGCCGCGCAAAGGTGTGTTTTTTTTTCTCTCTATATTGGAAATTACTTTCACAAGATGAAAGCCAGATCCTCCGGAGATGGATTTTTACCTTCAATTTCCAGCTGAAATTTACGTATAGAGAAGAAAAAGAAAAGATTGAAGAGCATTTGATTAATTAATTGCTTGTGCTGAAGTATAAATTGCGCATTTTCAATCAAAGAATTGCTCTTGAATTTTTTTTTAAATGTATTTTTGCAATGAAGAGGATCACAGTTATTTTTGTAATAACACCGATTTGAATTGCAAAAATGATGAAGATGAAGTGAAAAAGAAAAGAGAGGAGACATTGCAGTATTTCTCTTTCTTTTCTCTGATTTGTGTTTCATTTTGTTGTAAAATTAAATTGCATTTTATTTGTGTTCGCAGCAACCACCTCCTGCCGTTGACCCTAAGCCTAAACAAGTGGTAGGTGTCTCATCATCTCTCTCTCTCTCTCTTTTCCCAATTGACCTGAAGATATAATAGAGTCACTAACATTTCTCGTTGCTTGAATTTATACTCAATTTATTTTATTCACCAATTTTCGTTGATCATTCATGAAGACTTTCTCATCGTCAGAGTAAATTTTTGTCACTGTGAATTTTAGTTAAATGAAATGGGAAAAATTGCACAAATTGCCAAAAGAATGTGGGATTGAATTGTGGCGTGAATATTTGCAGAAGACGGGCCGATGGAATGCGATGCACGTGAGGATCGCATGGGAGATCTACCATCATCAGACGAAACAGAATCCGGAAAAGACAGCGGCAGCTGCGGCGGGCTTGAGTGCAAAGGCGACGGATCTGCTGAGGCCGCCGTCGCACATCTTCCCGCCGTCGACAGCGCTTGGGCGGCCACACGAGCTGCCCACGTCCACCTTCCCGCCCACCGGATTGCCCGGCCGGACGCCCTTCGAGTCGGCGCCGCTCTCCACGAGTTTCCTCACGTCACCAGCTAGTCATTTAGGTAACACAGTCGGCGTGTTTCTCACCGCACAGCCACTGAATTGACTCCCATTTTGCTTGCAGGGAGCGCAGTATCTCCGTTCGGACGGTACGCATCCCCCTTCGGTGGCTCCCCGTTCACCGGACTGTCGCCCTTCTCGCGGGAACTTCCCCTCGGCGGGCCACTGTCGGCGGTTCACGATCCATGGCGAAGGTGAGCATTTCATTTCACAAGCGCTTTTTTCTCTCTATTTGCAGACGAACTGACGAATTTCACACTTTTTTTTCAATAATCAAATATTTATTCTTGCGAGTGAATTATCTCTCAAAACAACTACTTATTTGGGTTTATTTAAATTTGCACGATGTCGCAAAGGCGACATGCTTTTGTACAGCTGTAACCCGAATTTTTGTGAATTCTTCACTGAGAGAAAAGAAATTGGGGAAATTTTGTGTTTTAAAGCATTATAAGAAATTGGAGGATCGTGATTTCAAAGCGCTCTCTTTTGCAGCACTCTGCCGAGGACTATTGGGGCGTATCCGCCGGGTCCGGGCCAGAGTGCGTGGCCTCTGAAGCCAGACCCCAACATAGATGCGGCGCGTCGGGAGGCAGAGGAGCGTGAGCGCGAAATGCGCGAGCGGGAGCAGCGGGAACGCGAGCGTCAGCGTCGTGAGCGCGAGGAGCGTGAGCGGCAGCGTGAGCGCGAGAAGGAGGAGAAGAGGAAAGAGCAGGAGCGCGAGCGGGAGCGCGAAAGAGAGCGCGAGAGGCGCGAGAAGGAGCGGCGCGAGATGGAGCGGCGTGAGATGGAGCGCGAGCGGCTGCTGCAGCAGCAGCGGCTGGCGGAGAGTAGCAAGTTGGCGGCCAGCGGCGTGCAGCGCGACAGATCGCCGCTGCGCAACGGCACGGATGTGGATGTGCGCGTGAAGGAGGAACCGCGGAAGGAGGACACGGATCTGCTGATGCGCACCGATCCACGCTATCACCCCTCGGCGGCCGCCGCTGCGGCCGCGGCGGCGGTGCATCATCCCTACTTGGCGGTGCGCCACGGGCCGCACGTGCTGCCGCCGCCGCCGCCGCATCTCACGCGGTCGATGCTGCCGCCGTCTCTGGGTGCGCCGCCCATCACACACTTCCCGCCGCCGCCACCGGGCCCCACGTGGGCGGCCATCGATCCGTATCGGGACCCTTATCGGCTGGACTCGATGCTGCGCTACAATCCGCTGGTGGAGGCGTTCAGGGCGGAGGAGGAGCGCGCCAAGGCGATGAACGCGTACGCGGCGCACTCGGCGGCTCACCTGCGGGCCAAGGAGCCGAGCCCCGTGCCGCCGCCGCCGCCCTCACACCACAGACTGCCTCCGGGGGCGCTGAAGCCGCCCTCAGCCCCCCATCTGGCGCCCGGCGGCATCCCGCTGGGCCCGGACATGCACAAGAAAGACGACGGCTCGGCGCCGCGATGATAGGCGGAACGTGTGGATTGTGAGATGCGCGGCAGCAAAGTGATATTGAAATATTAACTATTATTTAATATATAAATATTATTATATATTGAGGAGATGATCAGTGGGTAGAGAATTAGGATTTAATAGTAATTTGTGGACGTTAGAAGAGGCCGAGAAGACGAGTGTGTTTGAGAGGCAAGATTAGGAAACTACTTAGGAGAAAGTGATGGCGGAAAAGTGAATCTCATTCTTAATTTAATAATTAAATTATTGCGCTAGGAGAGACTCTAAATGGTAGAAGACACAGAAACACACACACACACACACACAAGATAGGGATGAAGTGTATTACCTACTTTCTAAAGATGAGAAAAAAACACACACAGAAGAAACATGGAAATACTGATAAGTTTATCAAATATTAGTAAAGTATATTAAATTATTATCTAATGTAATGAATTGAAGATATACAAAAAAAAATATTTTATTTATATATCAAACTTAACTTTTTAGGACACATGAGAGAAAGAAAGAGAGCAAAAGAAGGAGAAAATCCCAGTGAGATGAGAGAATAATTGTGAGGAAGAGGCAAAGAAATTGTGGAACACAAGAGATTCGATTTTATATATATTTAAAATAAAAAGGAAAAAAATATGAGGAAATGCGAGGAAGGGAAAATACAAAATTGTACATGAAAATGAGAATCTAGGCAGCATAAGTTATTTATAACAAGTGAGACAGTAATTACGTAGGAACCACCATATACATGGATAAACAGTGGATTTCATAACTATTTACCGTGCATGATAACTAGAGGGCGTGTAGTGAAGGCCTAGGCTCTAGGCTAGGCTGGCTAATGAGTGGCGCTGAATTGCGAGCATTTGTGGGACGCAAAACGCGCGCGCGCGCTGGACGACAAGGAATTTCGCGGAACAAGGTTTAAAGAGAGGAGAACAGAGAGTGTTAAAAGAGAAATGAAATCTAGTGAATAGTGAGAAAGGTGAAAGAGAAAAACAATTAATAATAATGTAAAGTTACATGAAAAAAAAATTGTTGTTGTGTGTGCGCTTATTTATTTTCGATATTAAGGGTATGAAGAGAGATGATGAGATTTTTTGGGGGAAACAGAAAGGAGCGGCAAAAGTTGTGCTGATGCAGAGGAGAAAAAAGAAAGGAAAAATAGTATTCGTGGGGGGAAAACTTTGCATAAATTATTAACATTTAAACGTGAGAAAGTGTGGAGATGAAACAGGCCGTGTATATAACATTTAAATAATACATTTAAAACAATTAATCCAATATTTATTGTGTCTAAATACACGCAAACATCATTCATCAACGTTAAAATATTTACATTTTCAATAGCAATTGAAGGTAAAAAAAAACACACAAACACACGGGAAACAAGATTAAATGAAAAAAAAACGTACCAACTCAATTTGCATTTTTTATTTCCAGTCAAAAGATTTTTCTTTTCATTATTATTTCCGATTAAAGTTTTCACTCCTTCCGAGAAGGATGAAAAACAACAATCTACCAATTATTTAAAGACTAAAAACTGAAGAAGAAGAAAAAAGTGAGAAACATTCATAATGATAACATGGGAACATTGTTGGAAACGCGAATATGATTTTATTTTGCTTTGCCAGATCTTTTGTACACCATTTTCCACATTTTCGGTCTTGAATGAGCGCGGGAAAGTTTGAACGGATGCACGTGGAGAATATAAGTTTTGGCTGATAAACAGAAAGTACAAAAAAAGAAGTTTTATTCTTAATTTTCTTCTCCAACAAAAGCCAGAGTCAAAAAAAATTTAGAAAGGAATGATTCTTTATCAAAAAAGTAAAGCAAAGAAAAAGGGGAACAGAAAGAAATTGAATGTGAAAAGATGCAAAATTGATACACAATAATCAAAAGAAGAAAAAAAAGAGCGAAAACAATTTTTCACTAACACTCCAAATTAGAGAAAAAAAAGGACTTTATCCAAAAAAAAGAAGAAAACAGAAATCGCACACAAAATGAGAGAAAAACGCACGTTTCCAACAGAAGAATAAGAAGAGGAGGAAGAAGAAAAAGAGAGAAAACAACTAATTTTAAAGGTAATTTAAAAAAAAATGAAAGAATAATTAATAATGTGAAAGAGTTTTAATAAATTATACAAAAACATTTATGAAAAAGAGAAAATGAAAACTTAAAATTTAAGAGGCGAGACTGAAAAGTCTTTTGAAGAAGAAGAAAGAAAATTGCGCGATTAACTTTGAAAGGATGAGAGAAAACCATGCAAATTGTAAGTTAGAGAATTTTTGTTCATATATTTTTAAAGAAACAAAAAAGTGGTGTAGAATGAGAAAAAGAGAAAAGAAAATAAAAACTGATACATAATGTAATTGCTTTGTAAATAATGTCGATGTAAGTATAAGCCAAGAAAAGAAAAAGTGAATGAAAAGATGAAAATCAACATTATACATAAACAATTGTATTTAATAAATGAAAAAAATACAGTGGAGAAAAAATATAAACAGACGATGACGAGTTGGAGGAGGATTATTAAAAAAAAAAATGAATTTAAGATGATAGTGGATTTATTGAGAGGATGTGAAGATTTAAAAAAAATGAAGAAAAACAGAAAAGTGTGTAGATAGTTTTTTTTATTTGCAAAAAAGTTTAATGAAATGAACTTAGTTAAATTTCTTCGCCGCCATTGATTCTTAATTTATATTGTAATAATTATTATGATTACTGTATGAAAAGGTAATTAAAATGAATAAGAAAAAAACAATTAAACATTTTGTAGATAAATGTGAAAATGCGAATAACAATATATATATATAAATCCAAGAAAATGTGTTTTCTTCGTGCTGCATGATGCATACGCTCTGTGTCGTTTTGCCCGCCTTCAGGCGGAATTTCCATGTCTGTCCGAGGGAATTCCTCAGACAGTGCGTCGGATTGTTGGTGGGATGTTTTGACGTGGTGCGCCGAGGAATTCGGTTGACGTTTGATGTTGTGCTTCTCACCTGCTTGTTTTTCCATTTCCCCGTGAAAAGTCCCCTTGGCGAGTGCGAAAAGTCACCTTCCGGAGGCGCCCAATGAGCGACAAGGACGAGGTGGACCGCGTGGCGGCCGAGAAGGGCGCGCCGGAGAATGGGGGCGTCGTCGCACCTGACGTTATCACCAGCAGCGCCCGGGGCGTGGAGACGAGCCCCGAGGCGAGGGACAGCGCCCCGCGGGCAGCCACCAAGAGTCACTGGGTGAAGTTCGACGATCCCGAGGAGGCGGACAAGGCGACGGAGGACGCGGTGAGTGCCTGAAGATCTCCGCAAGTCAAGGTCTCGTGTGGTGAATTGTTGCGTGGCAGCCCGGAGACAGTGGCCAGCCATTCCGGGGAATTTGCATAATTGAAATACACAGTCGAAAAGTCACCGCCACAGAAGCGCTCTGTGTTCCCATTAATAGATAATGCATGGCATTTCGGAATGCCTGTGCACATGAGAGGCACCTGTTCCGAGAGGCTCTGTGAGAAATTAATATTTAAGGCGGTCACACGATATTTGCGCCAAGAACACTGGCTTTTGTGGCTTCTGTCCACTTTTCCAGCATTTTTCCAACTATGTTAAATCCCAGCAAACCCAAGAGCTAAAAAGCAGGTATTTTAGCTAAAATGTGCTAAGACGAAGTATGAAAACGGATTCAAATAAGCGATCGCAGCGACGACACGTCAACTGAGCACAGATTTTCAAAGTTGCATTTCCACTTAATTGTGCAATAAATATGGTTCAAATGGAGAGGCCATGACTCAATTACTAAAGAGGAGCACGAATTGGCTCACAATAATGGGCTTTATTGCCTTAAAAGAGCACAAAAATTGCCTTTGTTGCTCAAAAATTGGTAGGTTTTTGCTATTTCCGCCTTTTCCTTCTTCTTTTGTTGCTTCTGCACACAGTTTCCAACAGAAGAAGCTCTTCTTTCTCACTTGAGCCACTCATTATCATTCTTATCATTGGTTTTCCCCCATTTCTACTTTAATTGGTCGCCGCTGTGATCGCTAATGTGTCCACTAAACTGCTAAGACCTTAGCGGAAAAATGCAAAGAAATCAGCTTTCTAAATCTCAACTTTGAGATCTTAGCATTTTGTGTTTGCTCTATTTTCTCTAATCTATCGAATCTCATATATTGAGCAAATGGTCTGCACAATTTCCATAGCATTTCGATTGGAATCCCGTGATTCACTTGAATGAATGCAATTGATGCAAGAGTGAGAGAGTTTCATGAGGAAAACAAACACAACACTTGATATTTTGCTGTATTTTGCTAATGAACACTTGTTGAGCAAGGCCGAGGAATTTCATGGTGATGATCTCTTTCTCTCTCTCTCGACAGCAGTCTCCTCATCCGCTGGCGCCGCCGCGCCCGGCCGCCGTGCTGACCACGGAGACGGTGCACGTGAACGTGAGCACGAGTTCGTCGCCCACGCGATCTTCTGGGCCCGCGGAGAGGAACCACCAGGCGGGCAAGCTGCCCTCTGTGGCGGTGATTGACGTGCCGTCTTCGCGCACGGCCGACGCGGCCGGCATGCGGACAATCGAGCTGTCCACGGGCAGAATCCGAGAGGGCTTCGCGAACGGCGACATCATCGTGACGCTGCTGCCGGTGAACACCAAGTGGCCGTGGGTGACGCCGGCGCTCTTCCGGCCGGAGCTCGTGCCGGAGGAGCTGATGGCGCAGGGTCTGACGCTCACGGTGGAGGAATACGTGCACGCCATGGAGACGCTGGTGAACGACTACCGCTTCACGCTGTACAACATCTGCTACAAGCGCGTGCTCGTGTGCTGGATCCTCTTCGCCTTCGCCGTGCTGCTGGGCCTGCTCTTCTCCGGCCTCACGGGCATCACGCTGTTCGTGCTGGGCGTGGCGTGGCTCTTCCTCAACGCCGCCGCGATCTTCTTGTGCATGTGGATCAAGTTGCGGCTGTCGCGCGGCCTGGAGAAGTGTCTGGCGCTGGTGAACAAGCAACTGCTGCGCCACAAGATCCTCCTGGCGCTGGACGATCGCGGCAAGATCTCCTGCCACAAGGTGAACCTGTGCTTCCTCTACTTCGACTCCAGCCAGTGCATCAGCTACCTCAACGACTTCATCGCGCGCCACGAGCAGAGCGGCAACGCCGTGCCGCCTGGCTGGGAGTCGCGCATGGATCTGGGCGCGGCCGACATCGTCATCCAGGGCAGCACGACGACGAGGGTGTCTAGGAAGCAGGTGAGTTTCTCTGCCCACTTTTCCCCCGAAACAACTCGAGATCTGTGCTGAATTTGAGAGTTGAACGCCAAGTGGAACTCTGATTGGACTTGAGGACAGACAAAGACTTGATCGGAGATGATTTTCACATTCATTTTTTTTTTAGTTCAGTGTTAGCAAGAATACCATTGATGTGGAATGTTGAACTTTTACATATTTGAAAGTTTTAGTGGAAATCGATCCAATATTTTTCATTACAAATGCTGAAAATCAAAGACAAGTTGAGAGAAACGAGGAAAATTGCCTGAATTTAAGCGAATTGTCTCTCAAATTCATCACAGATCTTTCTTCCCTGCATGAATACATGTGACCTTTGAATTCTCAATGTCCCGAGAGAGAGAGAGTGAATCTTGAGGATCTTCCCGAAATCCCTGGTCGAGGAAAAGTGCACCGCCTCCCTTTCCATGATTGCACACAATTAACGCGTCCTCGTCTCTCTTCCACACTGACCAAATTGCCCTAATTGATAATGACTCTGCGCGCCGGCCAGACTGTGGGCGAGGAGCTGTTCCTGCGGTATCTGCAGCGCTGGGGCAAGGACTTCCTGCGCCGCCGCCTGGACTGGATACTGGAGGAGAACGGGCTGAACGGCAGCCCGCGGCACCTGCAAGTGGCCATCTGTCCGTGCCAGTACGCCGAGGAGATCGTCCTGAACAAGCCGCGCCGCGATCCGCGCCAGTGCTGCGCCTGCATCACCAACTGGTTCACGTCGCGCGGCATCAATTGCTGCTGATGCAACGAATCTCCGTCTGTCCCCTCGACGCTTGTCCTCTGCTGGTGACGGTTTCCTAACTTGCTAATCACTCTCGTCGTGGAGTCTCTCCACTTCTCACCTCATTGTTAAACACACTCTCGCAATTTCTTGTTTGTTTTGTAAATTGTTGTTTTGTGTGTCGCTGCTTTGTACACCTTTTGTTATCGCTCTATTTTTTCCGTCTTTCTTTCTCTGGCTGGATTTTGTGGACAGAATGGGAAGAGATTTGTTGGGCGGGAAAATTCGTGAATGAGGAATTATGGAGGGCAATTGCCATGTAATTGAGCCTATGATAATTGATTCTCTAGCCTTTTGCGCTCTTTCACTGTCTGGCGAATCACTTAGCAGATTCTGTGAGGTGTGAAATTGGCAATTTAGTTGTAAAATTCAGTAAAACTGCTCCAATTTGGGCTTTTTGGCTAGCCGAATTACGGTTTGTGTTTCGGCTAGCCGAAAAGCCATTACATTTGAATCTTTTGACCACCAGAAAATCCATGAAAACTCAATTTTCCGCACAAAGTATGAAATTAGGGATAAATAAAATCATTTCCTTTTTAGTATCAATATAAATGAGGAAAGTCAGAACGAGTTGTTCGAAATTAAATTGTTTATGCATTCTTTCATATTTTTCCCGGAAAATTGAGTTTTCATGGATTTTCTGGCATTTTTAGCGCAAATTTTACACTGCGTTTATTCAATTTAGTAACTGTCAGACTGTGGCAAGAGGTGGTAAAATGTGGTAATTGCGCCCTAACCTCAACTAGCCCGACACTTCCGACTCTGTTGCGCGCGTGGCGCGCGTGCGTGAGTGTGAGAGCGTGTGTGATTGGGTGGTGTGAGGCTTCTAACCGTCTTCGTGGTGTTGCAGGAGAGAGCCACGCTGCTCTACCTGCGCTACGCCTCGCGGTGGGGCAATGAGGCGACGCGGGGCATCATTGACGTGTCCGTGGTGGAGCCGGCGAGACACTCTGCCACCACGCAGTGCCCGTGCCAGTACATTGAGCAGCACCTTTCCTGCAAGCCACGAGGCAAGTTGAAATTTTTCAGTATTCTCTACTGGGTTCTGGCCTCTGAACGCTATGACTGAATCTCTTCTGCCTTCTTACTTACTATTCTGTAAAAAGAAAACACGACCAAACTGTTTGTGTACAAATTTTATATGTTAATTAATTCCAAAATTTATTTCTTTTCTCCATGCGTTGGCCACTATTTTCACCGCGCACGACTGTTTATTTTGACCGATTTTGTGTGTGACTCAACAAACAAATTCTGTAACACTTTACTAAAAAATCTTTTCCCTGGATTTGTAAACTATGTAAATTTACATTAAAAAAATACTTGGTGTTGTATTATTACATTTTTTCCCATTTGTTTTCGCACATAACACACCATCATTTATACCAACATTTTCCCATTTCTTATTGGGGGAGTACAACCCATTAATAATCCCTAATCTTATGAAAATAATCAAAAAATAAAATTAACTTATCAGGAGATGGATCATGTTTGTTGAAGATCTGTTATGATGTTAACAGTCGAGATACAAGAATAATAGCCTAGAATCATCGATCGAACGATCAACTATTTACGTAAAAGAAGCGATAAAAGAATAATGATTATTGTAAATACGAATTCGTAAAATGGACCAAAATAGTATTTAATCGTCCAAAATAGTGAAAGATCTTTGTAGAATGCTCAAAACTTTTACTATCCCGCATTCCTTCTATAAAGTATTAAGAAGAGAGAGTGAAAAGAAAAGAAAAACAAATTGATTGTACTTAAAGAGAAGCAAGAACAGTGCAAACTGAGCTATTTTACTTAATGATGAATGCAATATTATTGATCTGGTTGTGAAGAATCTAATATATATTTATGTGAAAGTATATATGGAAAACATCACATTCCGTCCAAAAAAGGATTCCATTACTATTATTGAACTTAATATTGGTGAGAATCTTATCTGAAGAACGGCGATAAAAACTTTTTTCTTGCTCACAAATTTGTAAGAACTTGTTGTAAAAATTATTATTCTATATTTACAATAAAATTCCAAGTACTTATAGCACGGAATAATTCTCTAAGCTTGTATTCTGTCCATAATTCCCAAGAAAAATCTTCAAGATTTTGGAGAGAAAAAAGGTAAGAATTTTAGGTTAAGCGTGTAGAAATTCTTTCTTTGCGTTTGTAAAGTAGATAAAAATCATGTTTAACCTTTTCGTTTTCATTTTCTGTATTCTTTAATTTTTATTAATATCTTGTTTAACAGTATTTTGTGCCTTTCGTAGTAAATTTGGTAAAGTTTGTTGTGTCGATTTTTTAATGTGTAAAGCATGCTGCACATGCTTCAAGTAATAATTAGTATTACATGAAGCATATGCTTCCCGGATTTCCAAACAGTTTTTTTCGGTTTATTATTTGATTTATTAATGAATTTTTTCTCAGTTTTTGTTTACTATTTACATGATTTTCTGTGAGAGTCAATAAATATTCTTTATCACCAGAAACATTCTCATTATTTCTCGATCTTTCAGGCTATCCGTGTTCCTGCCTCGCTTCCGTGACGGACACCAACATTATGTACGTCTAATATTCATCCAATTATTACTTAATGCCGTCCAGCACACATTCCTGAGCAACATGGGGAGAGTTATCGAATAAACGAGTATTATCTTTCAGCTTTGATCTTGATTTCCTCCTCGAAAAGCGACACTTCTTCCAGATTCTTGTCAATTTGCTCGTGGATTTCCGCCGATTTGGCTTTTATCCTATGATTTTTCTCCTGCAGATGATTTCGCAGCTCCTCCAGCCGCGTCCGAACGTCTTTCAGATGCTCCACGTCCTTCAGGAAGGTCTCAAAGAGCTTCCACCAGTCGTCCAAGGAAACATTCTCAGTCTCTTCCAGGCATCTCGTTTCCGGCACTTCGGGTTTCTCCGCCTTGAACGTCTCCATATCTGCTAGGATCTCCTCTAAGGACAGCATTGGGGGCGCCGGAGGGAGTTTCTTGAACATTTTGGTCGATTTTGGAAAACTAAACAGCAAGCAGAAATGTAATTTGACACTTCAACGTCACGTGTCGAAGTGGCATGCGAGTTCAGTTCACAAATTGCCTGTGAAAATTCTCAACCAATCTCCCGGAAAATCGCCTTTTTCGCCGGGAAATACATGAAAAACACAGGTAGAAATACTTTAAAAGTCTTCTAGAGAAGCTACTCTATTGTTTCGTTTAGAAAAATTGCAGATATTGGATGTATTTTTGGGAAAATTTGCTTCGTAATTGCATGACATAACCTCAAACCTTGACCCAGAAAATTCCCGGATTAATTTATGATCTAATTAAAGAATTCTTTTTCACACAGCCGAGACATGAGGATTGCAGCACTGCTCCTCATCGTGGCCCTGGTGGGTGACGCGACATGGGCTCAACAGGCGGGAGACTTTGAGGACAATGATTTCGCTGAGTTTGAGGATTTCGACGATGACTTCGTGACTGTGAGTCCGGGAGCGCCCGCGGCTGGCCAGGCGAGCCAGAAGAAGGAACCTGAGCCTGTGAATGGGGACTTCAAGGAGATCGATGCCGATGACGGCGATGAAGCGGTGGTGGAAGATGAGGAAAGTGAGTTTGAGCACTTCCACGATGAGGAGGAGTTTGAGGGCTTCCCGGGCGGAGAGGCGCCTCCCAGCGAGGGCGCTTCGCTGGACCCGAAGGCCGGTGAGCCGAAGCTCACGATGGCCAAGGTGCCGATGCACTTCCGGACGCACTGGGACTCGTACTGGATGGAGATGATCATGATAGCCGGATTGCTGGCGTACTTCTCGAATTTCTTCATGGGCAAGAGCAAGAACACGAAGCTGGCCAATCTCTGGCTCTCCACGCACCGCAGCCTGCTGGAGGAGAACTTCGTGTTGGTGGGCGACGACGGGAAGCTGGAGAACGAGTCGCACGGGCTGATCAAGGAGAGCGAGAGCACGTTCACGCTGTGGTGCAGCGGCCGCACGTGCTGCGAGGGCATGCTGGTGGAGCTGAAGATGATCAAGCGGCAGGATCTCGTGGCGATCATTGCCGGACTGCTGCGACCCAACCAGGATCAGGTGCACGTGAAGATCGAAATGAGCAGAGACGTGATGGACACGTTCGTGTTCTGCGTGGCGACCAAGAAGACCGCCACGAAGATGTTCAAGGAGCAATCTGACCTCAGCAAGTTCTGCACTCTAGTCAACAAGTCCGAGGACAAGTACAAGGTTCCGCTGGGCTTCTGTGTCCTGTCCGAGCTGCCCGAGGCGTCGTCGGGCGTGCTGGACTCGCGCCTTATCGCCGCACTCAACAAGTACGCGCCGCTCATTGAGTACATCCACGTGTCTGACCAGTTCTGTGGCGTCGTGCAGCAGGAGGATCCGGCCAACCTGAAGCAGCCAGAGGTGAAGCGCATGCTGATGGCGGGCTTCAATCTGCCGCCCAACATCGACATGGAGACCGCGAAGCCGCTGCTCGTGCTTGTGTTCTACCTCATGGAGCGCCTGAAGCGCTTCCGGCTGTCCAAGGAGTCGAAGGCGAAGGCGGACAAGAACCGCGCCCGCGTCGAGGAGCAGTTCCTGAAGAACACGCACGCGGCGCGCGCCGAGGCGGCCGCGCAGCGTCGCGAGGAGAAGCGCAAGGCGGAGAAGGAGCGCGTGATGGCGGAAGATGATCCGGAGAAGCAGCGGCGCTGGGAGAAGAAGGAGCAGAAGCGCCAGGCGAAGAAGAAGGCGCCCAAGATGAAGCAACTCTCCATCAAGGCGCTCTGAACAACCCAATTTCGACTCTAACTCTCCAGTCGGAGGATTTTCGCTAGAGATTCCGCATATCGATAAATTTCCTCAATAAAATTTGTCTCTAGTTTGAAAACACGTGTTGTTTGTGTGTCAAGAGGTCAGGAAAACAGGCATTTTCTCTCAAGAAAAGAGCTGTATTTCTAATATATTGACTGGTGATCTTACACAAGACAAGACCTAAGCTTAAGTTTGGGTATTTTTTAGGTCGTTTTTTGGCATTAAAGCTGCAAAGCAAAGAGCCAGAGTGGAATGATAAATCATTTAGAATATCGTACATTTTGAGCTCCACAATCACAACAAATTAGGTCAAATAATAAATAAACTTTATCACAATGCAAGAGAATATGAACGTCGAAGTGTAGCTAAAGTTCTGGGCTTTGCGGCTCATGCGGAGGATTCCATCGTGATGATCTTTGCCGTGTGCATCTTGAGATTGAGATCGACGACAATCTTGCAGAATTCACTGTCCTGAATCTCCACAAAGTCCGCCAGGACGACATTGACTGTGGGCGCGTCGCCGGGACGCCAGACGCCCGGACGCTGGGCGGCGATCCACGAGAGGAGCTTCCGGAAGACCTTGCGCGCGCACGTGCGCTGGAGGGAAGACAGGAAGCGCGGCACGGTGTAAGAGATGTTGGGCGTGAGCACGCACTGCGTGACGTAGCCTTTGTGGGGCGAGCGTGAGGCCAGGCCTCTCTCCAGGGACTTCTGCAGGCGCCCCACGTTTGTCTCGTTCGGCCACGGCGTCGGCCAGTCGTCGCTCGTCCAGAAGTTGCTCACGCCGTGCGCCTGCGCATTCCGGTAGATGATCACGACTTGCTGGCCCGTCTGCTCCGCCACTCTGGGCGTCCAGTGGCGCAGCAGTCGGCCATCCCGAGGCCACACTCTCTGGCCCAGGACGTCCGTCAGCATCGCCATCAGCTCAACGTGGTTCTTCTCCTCGAACTGATACGTGTGCTGGATGTCCAGCACGATCACCTCGCCCGGGTGGCTGTCCAGGAAGTCGCGGATCTCCTGCAGAGGATCCACAATCTCCTCGCAATACAGGCCGTGCACGAAGTAGTAGCGCTGCTCCTGGCGACGGAAGCTAATCCGGAAGTCCAAGTAGCGAATCCCGTTGAGCAGCTGCTCGTGCAGCGACAGCTTTTGCGTCACCGCCCAGCGCTTGATCACGCACGGAATGACTTTGTGCAGCCAGTGAACGCACGCCTCGGCGTCCGGCGCCACTGGACTCAACGCCCGCATGTCGTACGTCATGGAATCGTGCGTCCCCGGAATGGCCAGGTTGATCACCGGAGTGTCCTTCAGCGGGTCCGGCAGATTGGTCACCCAAAACTCCAGGTTCTCCGACAATTTGCCGCGCATTTCTGGAACAAAAACAGCCAAACAGCAGATAAGATAAAGGGTGAAACACTCGACGATTCACAATGTATCGATTTGCAGAGTGTCAGGGAGACTTATTTATAGTGTAGCTTGTTGTTGATGAGGCTTTGGGAATGCCAAAAGGCTTGATAACGACGCTGGAGGTCAGTTCAAGAAACTCATTAATTATTTATTGTAATATCAATCTCAACCCAACGAAAGGACCCATTTTTTCATATCTCTACTCACTGGTATTTGCAACCACTTCACAACACACAATCACTCGTGGTCAATTATTCAGCTGACCCACCGCGACTTCAGCTACTCCATCGATTGGGAAATGCACGGAAAGGCGAGGAAAAGTGGCGAAGAAAAGGAGAAACAAAGCCTCTGTGACCAGCTGTTTTGGGCGATGCAGAAAAACATTGATTTCGCGTGTTGCCAGCGCAGAGTCTGCTGGTGCAATCTGGTGGGATTTCTAGGGAATTTTTGACGTCTGCGGCGTTTCCGGTTCCGTCTGTCTTTTCTTCTGTGAAACGTGACGCGAAAGCGTATTTTTCCACCAAAATGGTCAAAGTAAAGTGCTCAGAATTGAGAACCAAGGACAAGAAGGATCTCGTGAAGCAGCTCGATGAGCTGAAGACTGAGCTCCTCAACTTGCGCGTGGCGAAAGTCACCGGGGGCGCTCCGTCGAAGCTGTCCAAGATGTGAGTATTTCATGCTCGCCTTCCGCCTCTGTTTTTGGTCTGGGAAACTGATTTCCCGGCTTATTAGGGACGAAATCCTCACCTAAAACCCCCAATCTTTGAAATTGTGTTGATTTGGCTGAATTTCTGGGGTTATTTTGATCTCTTCTCGGCAAAGTCAGGAGTGACATTGTGAGGTTATGTCGTTTGATGCATTTTTGTTGTCTTTTTGCAGTCGCGTTGTCCGGAAGGCCATCGCCCGGGTGTACATTGTGATGCACCAGAAGACGAAGGAGAACCTGAGGAAGGTGTTCAAGGGCAAGAAGTACAAGCCTCTGGACCTGAGGCCGAAGAAGACGCGCGCCATCCGCCGTGCGCTGAGCGAGCGCGACGCCAACAGGAAGACCCTCAAGGATATCCGCAAGAACGCCAAGTATCCGGCGCGTAAGTACGCCCTGAAGGCGTAGGTCCGATTGGAGTGATTAAAACAGCGCTTTTGACGGCTAAAGAGCGATTTTATTTGGGAATCCTGTCCCAGCGCCAAATCGTCCCGTCGTCGCACACGCAGATCAGGATGTCTCCGTCGCGGCTGAAGGCTGTCTGGCGGATGGCGGTGGTGCACTTGGGATGGGAGAGAATTGTGCTCCTCGCCAGGCTGGGATCCTGCACGTCTAGTTCCCAGATGAAGGTTTTTCCGCATTGATTCCCCAACGCGATGACCTGCAATGGGGCTTTGTTAGACGGTTCGTGTTTCAGGAGGGCTGCAAAAGGGTTCTCACCTTCTGCCAGAAGTCCAGGGCGAAGCGGATGAACCAAATCTCACACTCCTTGTACTCGAAGTGATGAATGACGGACACGGAAGTCTCATTGTGGCGCAATTCCGTGTCATCCAGTCGCCCGGGCTTCCAGCACACGATGCAGTTCTCACAGGACTTGGACAGCACAAAATCGCCCATCCAGCGCACGCAGTCCACGTAGTTGCGGTGGATGTCGCGCGTGGAGAAGTCCGGGAAGTGTTCCTTCAGCGTGTCGAAGGGTCTGATGCTCTTGTGCGTGTTGAAGGTGTAGCTGCTCTTCACGGCCTCCTTCATCTCCGCCTTGCCCAGGCCCCACAGCTTCAGGGAGTGATCCATGCCGCACGACAGGAACCTGTCGCCGCTGATGTCAAAGTCGGCGCTCAGCACTTCGTCTCGATGACCCTCGACGCCCCCGAAGATGGCAATGCAGACGTCTGTCTGCACGTTCCACAGGCGCAGCGAGTGGTCCTTGCTGGCGGAGAGGAGAATGTAGGGATCTCTGGGGTGGAATTTCAGCTCATTGATGGCGTGTCCGTGGCCAATGTAGTGCTTCGAGCAGGTCATAATCACCGGATTGAAGATCCTGATCACGCCGCGAAGCCCTCCTGCCGCCAAGATGGGCTTCTCGGTCTCCGTTTCATATGACCAAGCACAGGTGTAGAAGATCTCATCGCTGTCCGGATCAGCGTAGCACTGAAGGAGTTTGATTCCGCCACTCTCCAGGCACTCGTAAATGGACACTCGATTGCTGCCCACAGAAGCGAAGATATTCGGTTGTCCCTTCTTCAGGTTCAAATTGAACTGTGTGCCGAACAGAGGCTGCCCATGATCCTCCTTGAGACTACTCCTGAAACCCAGAAAAAAGCCCCAAATTAGCCAAAGAATCCTTCCGACAGCCAGAAAAGTGATTCACACGAGAATTTATAGATTTGCTTTGGTGTCTTCGGCGGTTTTGCCTTGACGCTTCTCCTCCCGCGCTTCTTTTTACTCCCCGCAGTGGGTGCTTCACTGTTAGACGTTGTGGATGCTGTGGTGGAACTGCTGGCGAGACTCGAGGAATCGTCCTGGAATCAAAACAACATCAGCATAACCCTTCATTCTCATCGTAAGACACATTCATGGCAAGCTCACAATCTCTTCGATGGATTCGTCGGAGATTTCATGGGTCGGAATGGGATCTTCAGCCGTTGAGGTAGAGGGTTTCATACTGATAAAATGGGAAAACAGGCAGGGAAATGAGAAAAAGCCACTATAAAACACTCCCGGCGCTTCCTCCAACGTTGTTGTGGAATGTTTCTGCCAGAGGTCTCTGCCAGCGTCTGCAGACTTTTTCTGCAGACTTTTGAGAATCAAGAATTGTGAGACGATTTACATAAATTTATAAGAAAATCATGAAAATACTCTGTCCAGAAATATAAAGATATATTTGCAAAGAAATTTGGATGATTGATTCAGGCGCAGGGTTGAAAAATGCCACGAAAGAAAAAGTCACCAAATCGTTGGCCACCATCTTTAAAAGTGGTGTGAACTTGGCGACAAACTGTGGTGAAAATGCTGATCCAACGAGTGAATCCAACTTCACATAGCTTGCCAATGGCAGTGATTTTGAGTGGCGTGAAGTATTTTTTCAGCAAAAGTGGGTGAAAAAACAGCGTTGCAGTTGTGAAAAGTGGCAAAAACGTAGCTCAGGTGTGTCGCGCAGGTGGATTGAGTGGAGTTTTGTGTGCAGAGGTAGGTGAAAGGGGTGAAAAACGGGTGGAAAAATGTGAGCGTCTGACAAACAAAAAATCCTCTTAGTCACTTCAATCTCCCTCACTTTTTGACCATTTTTCCGCATTTTCCCTCTGTTTACCTGGACATTTCCACCTCGAGTGTCTCGGTGGCGGTGGCGAGTGCGCTGAGTGGCACTAATTTGCCCTTTTCCCGTGTTCCAGGCGTCTCCAGAGTGCAATTTTGTTGGCCCCCGGAAGCTGAAAAGGACCTGCGACGAATGGTGAGTGGGTTTTTCACATTAATTTTCGAGTGATTTGGCTGCTTGAGTGATAACAGAGCACCTCCATAGGCTCTATTGCACGCTTGGGAGCCCGCTTGGGTGCTCTGGCAGCATGCATGTGCCCCCGCTATGCCCCCATGGCTGTAATTAACAATGCAAAACAGCTGATCGCGGCCCGAAGGCCTCCATCGGCCACAGTTTTTGCTCTGCTGAGGGTGAGCAAGCTTGTAGTGCGATTCTCATCTCTGCTTCCATTTTGGCCCTGAAGCGCCGCAGCACAAGAAATATGCCACTCGGCCCAGCGGGAAACCCAAATCGGACTCCTTTTTGCATTTCTCTCGCTCACATCGCCCGGCCCGGTGGGCTTCGAGCCCTCCGGGAAGACCGGCGGCCTGACCTCAGTGTGATATCATGGCCAGAGTGACTCTGGATTCCCTGGAAAATTGCACACGAGTCTCTCGCGTCGTCAGTATCAATGAATTGACGAAAATTCATCATTCCTTTCACGATAAAATGCCGCGTGAGTCATTTGGGCAAACATAAGAAATGCTACAAAATCAGTTGTGATTTCTTTGCACACGTACAGTGAGGGGCAAAAGTGTCGGAATGAATAGTTTCACTCAACAAAATTCAAATGTAATTGATTTAAAGACTTTTTTTGGTAATATTTTCTCTTTAAATGTAAAGCGTTCTTAGTACTAAATATCATTTGATTGTTTTTGGTTTAAAGGTATCGACAATGTTTTCACCTAATTTTATGGAAAAAGTAGTTAAAATCGATAGTCTCATTAGCCCCAAGTTTCCTTAATATTGTAAAAGAAAATTGTGCGCAATTTCTATCGATAAGTGTCGATAAGTTACCAAAACTTCAACTTATTGGGACAACTCCGGGCAATTTAATGAATCACGGTCTTATGAGTGCTCGTCAAGGCAAGTTTGCCTTCGATGATGGCAATAGAAGGTGAAACTGTGCTTACCACTGATTTCTATGAGGAAATTTGCAGCAATTCTGCACGCTAGTGTATCAAAATATCAGCTACAAGTTATCTTTCGCGTGTTGGCCTGGAAAAAAGTGGGAGCAACAGAGGCAAAAAGCATCGAAATTGGATGATATTTCAGGAAGAATATTAAAGAGATGGAAATTAATCAGTGGGAACATTCCACGTTCTGCTCTCTTTCTCTCTCTTCCCTCCGCACCTAATGCAGAGTGTGACTTGATGAAATTTTCCCCTTCAGAAGGCGAAGAGATGTTGGCTTGGGAGTATAAAGTAATTTCTGCAGTGTAATACTCTCTGTCATTTCGTACGACTTTACCATGGAAGAAATGCTGTGCTGTGAAAGATCATTCTCTGGGATTATATTTGCTTGATTCTGTTTTTTTTCTGCTCTCCTCGCATCTCTCTTCCTCGTCGTCAATTGTTGTGCTTCTCATAGAGCACAAAATCTGTGTGAAAGAGAGAAAGAGAGCGAGCTGAAGTCGGTTTTATTGTAATGAAATGTACATAAAATGACGATTTATAGTTGGTGTGTATGTGGGTGGCTTTTTGCCCTCACGCGCCCTCCCATCCTTCCACATCCACTGGATTTTTTCAGCGCGCTCACTCTCTCGCTGGCAAATGTCATCTCTCAGCGTCCCTCATCGCATATTCATGCTTCCATAGAGTCACTCTCATTCGCGTTGGCTTCTATGTTTGATGATAATAATACTGGCTGAAGCTGCGGTATATCTAGATTCATTTCAATTCAACCTGCGCCCTTCGCAACTCTTTTCACAACCATAAATCCCAAAAGCAATCCACACACATGTGAGAGAGATTTGCCAGTGCAGAATAATTCCATTTGCAGATCTCTCTTGTGCTCAGTCGCAAAAGTGCACACAAATCAATTATTTCCTCCACATCCCACTTTTACGGCTCTCTCTCTCGCTCTCATGCATATAAACAGTGGCGAAAAGTAGTTTAGGACACCCGAGAAATTCATTGAGTAATCAAATCAGTTCTGAAATTTAGTTATTAGTTTAGTGAATTATACTTTTTCGAAGTATTTTTGTGTGCTACAATCGCTTTAGTGCTAGGTTTTCTAGCATTATGAAACGTTTGAATGCTAGTGAATATTTAAATGTTTCGAGCAAGTTATAACATAGATTTTGAGGATAACTGGCAATAGAAACTGAAATATCGCCGTGATCTTAACATCCTGTGAAGGATCATAAGATTCTGATCATTTTTCGACTTCAAGTGAACTTCAAGTTGAAATTGATCAACATTTCTTAGGTGTCCTAAACTAATTTTCGCCACTGTATTTCTCTATATTTCATTGGGATTTTATGCGGAACGATGTGAGGTGATGGAAAGTGCCAGGATATTCATTCACATCGTCGTTTGAGATATGAGGGGTGGCTTTTGAATGATTCTCTCTAGCTGGTTGGAGTTGTGCTTATTTATCAGGCACACATTCAGCACACGAGTGCAATTAGGGTGTAATTTAGAGCATGTTTTATTCATTGGACTTCCTGAAACTTTTCTCCATTATCAGATATTCAATGGCAGAGGAAGCAAATGCCATTGAGAAATATATTGATTTAGTAGAGCTTTCTCATCACATTTCACTTATCACAATCTTGACACTTTTATTTTTCATGAGTCCTTTGTTGAGACTTTCAGTTATAAATGTAAATAACATGGGAATTTCACAAATAAACAAGCATTCCAATTAGTCATATTAAATTAGTCACAAGTTCCTTCTGATCGCGTCGCGAGATTATATTTTTTCTTCCTCTTGATTTGTATATAGAGATCAAGTAATATTTAGAGTCTGTTTGCACTGGCGTTTGGTGTAGGAAAAAGTCCCCCATTGGGTGTATTTTTGGGTGTTGAGCTAGAGAGATATCTGAGGAATTTTCTCAATAATATTGAAGGGCTCAGTGGTGATCAAATAGACAAATATTTGAGGTGGATTGGAAATAAGAAACTCTGCGCCCTTTTCCTCCAATAAAATTCAACGCGCAATAAGTGTTTAGTGCGTGTGTTTGTGCTCTGATGTCGCAAAGTTGTCCAATTTTCTTTCAAACACACTTCGACTATTTGGAATTTGGAGTGATTGAAGGTGGTTGAGTCCGTGTTGATGGTTTTCTGCACAGGGCTTAATGATGCTTCATTTGGGTCATCTCTAGTTGGGACAATTCGTGCACGCGCAGAGGCAAGAAAGAGAGTGAGTGAGTGTGTGGAAATTGAGTGAGAAAATGCGTATCGTGATTGTCATAAATGTATCAACACATGAAGGCGATATGTCATCAGAATGTTATATTTTTCTCTATACTAATATTATAAAGGAAGAATTTTATGGCAGCGAAACTGACTGCGCGCGGTGAGATCGCGCGAGTGGAGAGGTTAGAGTGAGATGCCAGGAATGAATGAATGGATGGCGAGAAACTGAGTTGAAATATGGGGTCTTGGGTCTCGTATAAAATTCAATTTTTCACTTTTTTCCCCTTGCTTTTTATCCGTGATGCCCAAGATCAACATATTGTCGACTCTTTTCCACGTGCTCAAGAGATTCGTGCTGTGAAATTTTTCGATGTCCTCAACCATGAGACAGATTTACATCTTTTTAATAAGAATTAATGTGTCAAAACCATTAAAATTATTGAGAGAGAGGAAAATATTCAACTCTAAAATTTCTTGTCTTTCTCTCTCTCTCTTTTTTTATTCGCATTTAGTTGTGAAGGAAAGAAAAGACAGGAAAAAAAATTGGAGCAAAAGGAGGAATTTCATTTCAGATTAATGTATGGCAATGTATAATTGAGTTTTAAACCATTTTTTTTCATTCATTCATTTCGCATTGGAAAACGGCGTGAGAGTGAGGAAAAAGAGGAACATTGTTGCACTTTTTATTATTACTCCTTGCCATCACGTTTTCCATGTAAAAGAGGAAAATTGCTGGTGTTGCGAGGAGAAGTTTTGTGAATAGTACGGAAGAGAGAGAGAGAGAGAGGAGAAGAAGAAGAATGGCGTTGAATTGTGAAAATTCTTGGTCGGCGGAGTGTGAGTTATGGTGAGGTTTAGATTGAGAAAATTGCTCAAGCAAAAGTGCGCAGAGCTTTTTAATTTGAGTGAAAAATGCAATACAAACTGCTTTTCATCTAATTGACCACATTCATGACGTTTTTTTTTCTGTGCAAGCATCATAATAATCTTATAAATATCGTGATACTCAATTCATTTTCCTTCTGTCGTTTCAACTTGCCTTCATTTCATGTTAGACCATTTAAGAGAAAAAATATACAACACATAATTGATGTATGATTGCAATTACATTTTGCTGGTTTGCTTGCTATTGAATTGCTGTATCGTGTGTCTCTATTTTTAATATGTTATTATGAGAGTGCGCCTATGTGAAGAATGGCCGGGAGAAAAGTGGCGGGAAACATGAATTTCAACCCTCTTTTCCCTCAATTTTCCACTCTATTTTCGAGCAATTTCACTCTTTGTTCATCACTGAGTCACAGGTGTATTTTGATTAGTGCAAATGCGCGCTGGGCACGATGAGGAGTTGCTGGTGGAAAGTGAGGGTGAAGAGCGATTTCATTGACCCTTTTCTCCTTCCTAAACTCCTTCCACTGCTTTTTCCACCCTATGAATTGAAAATGAATGTTTCACTCAAACGACGTTTGGCTGTATTTGCGATAATTTTCATATGTGTTTTTCTTGGAAAAGCCACCATTTCATTACATATGGAAATTTCATTGTTAAACTACTTCAAGCTTTCAGGGTTGGACAAATTTGTCTGCGCCTCTTTGATTGAGGAAAGACTTTTACAATGTCTCCCCAGAGAGTGCATTTTCTATAATTGTATGCAAATGCGCTGTATCAGCAAATTGCGAGAGCAATTTTTTGCCTGTCTGTCGATTTGTAAATTGATATTCTTCGGAAATTTGTTTACACTTGATCATCAGACAGATTTTGCAGCTTGACGTCAAACATGTCAAAATCACTTGAGGCAATGCGAAAGATAAGGATTAAGCTTCAATATAGCGGGCTTAGATTTTATTACATTTGATTGTTTTGGAAGATAAGACGACACAGAAATTGTTTTGAGATTCCTCAGACGAGGTCTGCTTAGTGTTGATCGTTTTCGGCGCAAATAGCGGGTTTGTTGCATTTTCCTAGATGGCGCCACTAGGGAGACTATTAAGATAATTACTTGGTAATACACTAGATGAGTTTGTAATCGCTAATTGCTTTTCCTTTTATCATGGATAGATTAATAACACTGAGCAAATCGGTGGGGTTTTATACAATGTGTGTCTCGGTGTGTTAAGTTACATTTGCCAACCCTGTGTTTTTAGAGGAAAATTGCAGGTGAAATTATAGTGAATAAAAGATGATAAAGAGCAGGGAATGACGAGAGAAGTGAAATATAAAAATCAATCATGCCGGGGGATCATTCACCCTATTTGAAAATTTACTTTTTGTAATGAGACACACGAAGAGTGAAGAGATATAACGAATGTGATGGGGAGATGGATGAAAAAAATTATCAATATTTTGTTGTTGTAATCTTCCTCCAACTCATCTATCTTGTATATGTCGCTTTCTGATGTCTTATGTGGTGTGTTTCTTCCGTTATAACTCTCTCTCTTCCATTCGGATGCTGAAGATCTTTCTCTGTCTGTCTCGCATATCTTCTTGAGAGTCAGTGTGATTGGGGAAAAGAAGAAAAATATGCAATATGCTGTCTTGTGTGTGCTTCCCATATTTATTATTCCATTCTGTATTGGGTGACTCGTTTGGCTGTTCTTTTCTCTCTCTCCCAACTCCATGTTTGTAACATAGATTATCTTTTACTCTCGTGTAATCGTTTGTAATACGCACTTGAATCTTTGTAATTACACCATGAGTTGAACACTGATCGAGGAGGCATTTATTGTGCATTGGCCTGTTTCTAAAACGGTTCTCAAGATACTGTGTGTATTCTCAGGAGAAAGAGAGGAGGAGAGAGGATGGAATGAATGCGTGTATGCACTGTGAAATGTTTGATGTCGTATCGTTTAGGTTTTTCTCTCTATATAACAAGGAAAATACTCACGCGCGCGCGCGCGCAGATTAGTGCGATCAAAACATTGGAAACTTCTCTCAATCTCTCTCTCTGATTCTCTCTCTCAGTTGCTTCGCGGGAAGCAGTATTCTTGGGTTGATTTTCTTGAGATGCTGTGCTCGGATCTCTCCTTTCGTTAATGCGATTATTGCCAAGATTCAAAGTCTGTACAAGAAGAGAACGCGCGCGCGAGAGAGAGAGACTTTTCTCGGCAGACTCGCAAGGAGTATGAGCAAGAGACTCACGTACTTTAGTCTCATTTTGAGTGAGATACTGAAAGAGAGTGACTTCTTTCTCAATGTGTGCTAGATAGAATTTTTCCTGAGGACTTGTGGTGAATTATCAGCTGTGTAGAGTGTGAAAAGGACTCACTGAGGAAGATTAGAATTGTACAGTGGAGAAGGAGTGCGTCTGAGTGGGGGAAATGTGGAGGAAAATTGGATGAATTTCTGAGAGAGTGCATGAAAGTGAGGAAAAATGGTGTTGTTTATAGAAGGAGGGAAATTCTAGAAGTGATTTTCACCCATCGACGCTCTACTGGAGGAGAATAAAAGTCTCGTCTGGGCGAAAGCAAACTGATAAAATGTTCAATCGTGTGTGCCTCAGTGAGTGCTAAGGAGGATAAAATGTAGGGAAGAAAAAAAAGAAGAACAGGCAAAGGAGAAAATGATATAACGCGCAGAAATCATAAAGAATTTCTTACCTTCTTCGCACAATCCGGTCTGCAAATGCGGAAAAGTTGTGGGCAACTTTATTGAATTTAAACACTCATGATGTGTGCTGCAATTGCATCAAAGTTGAGATTTATTTTCTTTTATCTTCACCGTGCATAAGCTTTCATTGCAAAAGAGCAAAGAAAGAGCGATATAGAGAGACACACAAGTATTTAATTGTACTGTTGCTGTATATATATATATATATGTTGTGAATTGTGCGGGCAATAATAATTGTGTGTAGGAAAATTGAGGAACAAGTTGTGACGAGAGAGTTGAACCTGAATAAAAAAAAGTCACACATAATTAGAATTGAGAGACTCTGCGTGCGTTATATGAAATCATCGAAAATGGCCAATCGAAGTGAGAATTGCAATTACTACAGCGAAGGTCACCCTCTCCTTATATTACCCCTATATTATTATACTTTCTATGCACTCTTAACAACTCTATATGCAATTTCTCTTCCTCCTTGTCACCTTTTATCTCATTTCATATGTCTCGCCCTGCCATATAATTTAATCACTGCATATGTGCGAATGATGTATAAAATTCTCAAGTGCTTTATCATCCTTCATCTTGCAACTGTTAAATGCTTTGACATTTTTAATTGAATGTTTCTCTCACTGCGAGAGTGTGCAATTTGGCTTCATGTCGCGTGAAGAGGCTTAAAGGTGTTGCTTATGTATATTATATCATGATTGGGGCGAAAAGGGAACAATTAAAAATAATCCCATTCGTCTGTGCGCACTCTTCGTATTTCTGGTGTCACCAGATAACGATTCTGTCTAACACTTGATATGCCATTTTGGTTAAATTCGATCTTGATATGAGCTGACTTTTAATCACTTTTAGCGAAAATGCCAAATCTGTGGGCGGAGCAATAAAGTGGGCGTGGTTTTCAGATAAAAAACTCACGTTTGTAGTAAATATGCAGAGTATGAATTTAATTGTGAAATATTTTTCGCAATTCAATTAAAATTGGTAGAATTGATAGGGAGAATCAGCAAAGTCTTGCTTTCTTTATTGTGTAATGTGATATTCAAGATTGTTACGTCTTCTGGGGACGTATATTTATGATAAAAAGTATTCAAATGTTTAGACTCAATTGATTTCGGATATTTTGCAGCTCAGTGTTTATTTATATTTTTCCGTACTTCTCTCTTAGATAACATTCATTTTTTTTTTACTTCACACATTGTGAATGCCGGACTCTTTTCGCCTTCATCGCTCAACCCCATCGCAAAGTCACTTTTCAGTTCGAAGACGTCATACTAATCGATTAATATTGACTCTGTAATATTTTTTTCTCTTTGGTCTTGTTTATGATAAAAAAGACTCAAAACTCTAACTGTTTGTGGGCTTCCTGTATGACTGTTGGTAGAAGGAGGAAAAAAATGTGTGTGCTTTTTATTGCATATTGCTGGAATTTCGTGTAGAAAAGTACATATAATACTTTTGAATTGTGTAGAACAGAGCGCAAAATAAATACATAGCGTAGTGTGTATTGAATTTTCTCATTTTGGATGCATCGCATTCCTCCAGAATCTCACTGCAGCTTGTTGATTTTTTGTCCTAACATTGCTTTAGTGTGATAGATAAGAGTTTATATACATATTTGTATAGCAAAAATATCTAAAGAGTTTGAATTTTTTTCTGTCTCTTTTCATCGAAACCAACTTGTTTGCTCAACAACGTGCAACCAATCAATACTGTAGATTTGAATTTTGGCTCGAATCGCTTCCTGTTCAATTCCCAATTTGCGCTACCATCACAATTTCGAGGAGAGAGACATCAATTGTACTTGACAGCGACAATGGAGACGGATGATGTTGAGTCGTCCAGCAGCAGTACAATGTCGAGTCTCAATAGTCTGTTCTCGTTCACGAGTCCGGCGGTGAAGAAGCTGCTGGGCTGGAAGCAGGGCGACGAAGAGGAGAAGTGGGCCGAGAAGGCGGTTGATAGTTTAGTGAAGAAGCTGAAGAAGCGCAAGGGTGCCATTGAGGAGCTCGAGAGGGCGCTATCATGTCCTGGACAGCCATCAAAGTGTGTCACAATTCCACGATCACTGGACGGACGATTGCAGGTGAGTGAGAAGAATTGTCATTTGTGTGATTCATTGATTGGCTTCTATGAGAGATGAAAACGATGAGAATATCTTTCCGGGAAAGTTTGTTTTTCGGTAAAATACAGAGAATTTCACAGTTCATTCTTTTTGATTGATTTTGTGAATCATCAATGGGAAAGTCACTAGTCGATTTTTGAGGAGTAATATTTTAGACTCTGATAGTTTGGAGATTGAGCTGGGATTTGAATGTCTCATATTGCTGAGCACTATCGCCAATAGCGCGGCGCGAAGTGTTATCAAGGCAAGAGCTCAAGAGCTGTAAATTAATCTCGCCAATAATAATCACATGTGACATGGGCGTATTTGGAATGTTTCTGTAATTCATCACACTGAGCATGAGTTGCTAACATTTCTCTGTGTGTCTGGACTGGATTGCAGGTGTCGCATCGCAAAGGATTGCCGCATGTTATCTATTGTCGCGTGTGGCGATGGCCGGATCTGCAGAGTCATCACGAGCTGAAGCCACTGGAGACGTGTCAATATCCGTTCAGTGCGAAGCAGAAGGAGGTGTGCATCAATCCGTATCACTACAAGAGGGTCGAGAGTCCTGTGTTGCCACCGGTTCTTGTGCCGCGACACTCGGAATTTGCGCCGGGACACTCGATGTTGCCATTTCAGTCGATGGCAGAGCCCACGATGCCCCACAATGTGAGCTACTCCAGCACTGGCTTCACGTCTCACATCAGTCCCAACAGTCCGCTGTCGTCGGTGTCGAGTCCGGGTTCGGTCAATTCAAATCCCACCAGTCCGTACGGTTCGCTGCCCGAGACGCCGCCGCCTGCGTACAGCCCACCTGAAGATGCCAACAGCAACAACCCGACGGACTCGTCGATGGACATCCAGATGGGCGAGGTGGCGCCGGTGCGCTATCAGGAGCCGCCGTTCTGGGCGAGTATTGCCTACTATGAGCTCAATTGCCGGGTCGGTGAGGTGTTCCACTGCCTGGCGCCCACCAATCAGACATCCCACTCAGTCATAGTTGATGGATTCACCAATCCAGCCAACAACAGCCAGCGCTTCTGCCTGGGACAGCTCAGCAATGTGAATCGCAATAGTACAATTGAGAACACACGACGTCACATTGGCAAGGGGGTGCATCTGTGCTATGTGGGCGGCGAGGTGTATGCCGAGTGTCTGTCGGACACGGCGATATTTGTACAAAGTCGCAATTGCAACCACCATCATGGCTTTCACCCAAGCACCGTGTGCAAAATCCCACCCGGATGCTCGCTCAAGATCTTCAACAATCAAGAATTCGCTCAGCTCCTCTCGCAGTCTGTCAATCATGGCTTCGAGGCGGTGTACGAACTCACGAAGATGTGCACAATCCGGATGAGCTTCGTGAAGGGCTGGGGTGCTGAGTATCATCGTCAGGATGTCACATCGACGCCCTGCTGGATTGAGATTCACCTCCACGGGCCACTGCAGTGGCTGGACAAGGTTCTCACGCAGATGGGCTCACCTCACAATGCCATAAGTTCGGTTTCTTAAGCGACTGGAGAAGAGTGAGAGAGAGAGAGAGAGAGAGAGAGAGAGTGAGAAGAAGAGAGAGCCCAGAGTGAGAATAATGAAAGAAACCCCTTATCATTTTTACTGTATACATTTCTCTAATATTAGACAGTAAATCGCGCCTCCTTATTTTTTTTTCTCTTCTCAGAAAGAAGAGAGGATTCGTTTGAAAAGAAATCTAATGAATGATTTCTTTTACTGTTCTTCGATGGCCTTTTTATTTGATGATTATTTTTTTGCGTTATACTTGATGGAAATTTTATGATTATTTTCTTTTATTATTCAATCTTTTTTAGCTATTAAGAAGTTACTATAATTTGTAATGTGAAGATTATGCAACAACAACAACAAAAAAACGTGAAATTACTTGAGTTAAGTTTATTGCTAAATTTACAAACAACAAAACAATCTTTTTTTTTTAGTTGATAACTCTTAACTTTGGAGATATTTAAATGTAATATTAGAAAGCAGCTACAAAGGTAGAAAAAAAAGAAATGTTTGGGAGAAAAAAAAGAAAAATTTCAGAAAGAGAGAAAATTGAACAATTCTTGAAAAGTGTCAGAGGTTTTATGTAAATCTATGAGAATCGGTTTTAAATCGCATTCGGAGACTCTCTGGTGAAAGTGTTGGAAGTTTTCGTTTTTGCTCATGAATTGTGTTCTTCCTTCTGGTGGAAAACGGTTCAATTGACTTCTGATGCTGGATTTCTTAAGCAGAAAGTCTCCATTTGTGATCATGAGAGGTATAATTTTCTCATTTATTAATGTTCTAATTGATAACAATCCCTAAGGAAACGTTTTAACTATAAACTAATTGTAATGAAAGTAGTAATCTTGTTTAATAATGAATTAATCCATTATAGTGGAATAATATGATTGAAAAGAAAATATACTCTCGCCCCCCTTCATCTTCCCTCACCTACTCTTTGGTATTTAAGTTTAATGAAAGCAAAAATAATGTAACATTAAAGAATATTTGCTGCATTTGTGAAAGAATAATAACTGGCTTCATTGTGAGTTGATAGTGCGCGAGCTTCGATGCTTAAAATCATTTTGATTGTGGCATAATTTTTGCTTAATCGTGCAATTTTTCTCCCCCTTTTTAAAAGAATCTTTAAACAAAAGAAGAAGAAGTTTAAGAAAGTGAGAGTAATTTGTTAGTGATTTGATGGTAGTGAGTGTGATTTTATTGGCCTCACAATCAATTTGGTGTGTCTTATATTATAAAAAAGAATTGAAAACAGAATTAAATAAAAAGAAATTTACTCAAGAAGGCCTTTGACAAGTGACCGATTAAAAAAATATTATGTAAAATTGAAGAAAAACTTTTACTATAGAAAAGTTTTACAGGATTTCAAAAAATTCCGCTGCCTGGATTTTAGATATTCCAGTGCCTTTGAAAAGAAGTTTCTTTGAAAAGAAAGTTTGTGCCGTTCAAAAAAAAAGAAGTATTATTATGAAATTGAATTGAATTGAAAAAAATATTTACAACAATTTTGAGGAGAAATGCCATTTGATGAGAATAAATTGTAGAATGAAGAAGAATTGTTTAAGGACGTAGTGAAGCTTTTTGCGTAAGAATATAAGAAGAAAACAATGTTTGAAATGAGAAAGTTTCTTAGCTATGAATTTTTGTGCAATTGTAATGTTAAAACAACCGTTTTAAATGTGGGAAGAGAAAAATGTAGTGTTTATTGCAATATTGACAAGATAAATTTTTCAAGTGCTATTAATAGTTCTCATTGTGCTTTGAAATAAGATGAAAAAGAAGAAGTATGAATTTTTAGAGGATTTCAATGTAATTGGTAAAGCTTTTATTCTCTTTTTTATTATTGTCAAGAGTTCTTTCTTTTTTATACAAATGAAATTTTATTTACATGAAATTCATTATTTTTTTCAAGTGCCTGTGATTGTGATTTATTATTTTCTTTCTCTATTGGCTATTTTTGTGTAATTATAAAGAGTATAAAGAAATATTGAACTGTAATTTGAGATGATTTTCTTACATGTGACGACAAATGTTGACAAATTGGAGGATTTTTCTTTGGTGAAGAAAAGAAAAAAAAAAGAGGAATGTAAGAAAAAATTATAGATTGAAATTTACAAAATTAGCCGTAAAATTACTGCCTAAAATGAAACAACATTTTTGCCTTTATTATACTTAAATGAAGTGAAAAAAGAGCCGACAAACGACCTAAAAATTGACATGATTGTTTTGAGAACGACACATTTTATTGAATAAATATAGTGGGAAAAAAAATACAATGAAAAGACACTACAAAATAAATGAAACAAGAGATAATAAAATGAAATCAAGATTATGACGATTAAAGCTGTACATTGAGCTTCATTGAAAGGAAAAGAAGAAGAAAAAAGTGTTTACAAGATCTCTTCTTTTTGGTATCGTAAATTTGTCCCGATATATAAATTATCATAATTGAGAAGTATAGATTTCAAGAAAAAAATGAATACAATAAAAAACAACAATAGAAGTAAAAAAAAATGCATAGAGTCAAAAGATATCTAACAAAAAAATATTTTAAATGTGAAGTGTTGTAAAAGTGAAAATGAGAAGTAAAAGTAAAACATTTTAGATGATACCAAAACGTAATGGAAATAGATTTTGGTGGAAGACAAGATGACAAGAGAGGTGAAAAGAAGTGGTAAAGTTTATAGTTTTCTGAGATACTTTATGGCCATATTGTGAAATTGTTCAACAGACGAAATTGTAATAATTAAATGTATTGTATAATGGATAAGGAAGAAGAATTATGAAAAAAAATTGTCGTTTAATTTGAAACATAAATAAAAAAAACCTTCTATTTGTGAGTATATGAAATAAAGTACACCTATATTGTAGAAAAAAAAACACTGCGTATATTGGATTATGTGTTGCAGAGAGGAAAACTTCCTCGTTGTGCCAGACCATTAATTGCTGGCTTGGATATTTGGGTGAGGTGTTAAAAAGTGGTAAAGTAATCGCCAGCCAGCTTTGCCTGGAAACACACAAATCCACGCCTGAATGAGCAAATTCGCATTGATCGTGTGCAAGAAAGATTGCACAACATTTTGCTGGAGGAAAAGAGATAAATAGGCGGGCATTTTAGGTGATAAATTAGGCGTATTTTCCCTGTGATTTATTGGTTTTATTGCATTAATGGCTTTGGTTTCAGTTTGGAGAGGATCACATAAATTTGTAGCAGGAAAAACTTGACTTGGTAGATTTATGGTGAAATTATTACTTTTTTCCGTATGATTTTAGAGCTTTTCCTTTGATTCTATCCATCAAAATCATGGTTTTCAACCATTATGGAACCTTTAATTGCTAGAAAATATGCAAACGTTATTAGAATCATTTTCCCGCCGAAAATCCAATAATAAATTACTGACTTTCTGGACATTTAGAGCTAAATATTCAGTGTCCTAACTGAATTTTCGTTGTTCTTTTGCGTAAATCTCTCTACTTTTTGCTATTTCTCAGTCGCAATCTGAAATCAGATCTTAACGCCAAGTGAAGGATCATAAGATTCTGATAATTTTTTGACTTCTGGTGTCCTGAAAAATGACAGAAATATCTAAATTTCTAAGGTGTCCTAAACTAATTTTCGCTACTGTAGGTAAAGAGTAGATTTTTGCATCATTTTTTCAAGCGAAATTTCCGCCTGAAACTTTTGCATACCTCAAACCCTCGCACAGTTGCGAATCTGGAGTGGCGCATCTGCTCAAGCTGAGAGCCGAAAGTGGAACTTTCCCTCGAAAACAGGTGCTCTCGTTCGCGCCATTGCGAGATTTTCGCGCCAAAGCGGCCTGGAATCAATACTGGCCGCATTTGATCTCGCTCTGACGCACTTCGTGGGTGGCAAAATCACCCTCTCCAGTATCGATCTGCCCATGCGCTCTCACGTGTTCCGTGGCAAATGCGTCGCCCCACGACGTCCGTGGCAGTGTGTTTGTGAGTCGCCGTTTCACCTGACCGTCCATCTGGTGTCGTCTCTCTCTCTCGCCACGCACAGCGTCGTCTCTCTCCCGCCGCCGCATTCCGCTGGCGCGCCATCTGCTCGGGCCGAGAGTGCCGTCTCTGTCGTGCCAACGGGCCGCGAGCGTGCTCAGTGACGAAGATAGAGGGACTCCACACACTCGTCCATCAGTTTGGAGGAAGTGCTTCAGTGGATTGCATGCAATGGGATTGCGGGCTGTGTTCCCAGTGGTTTTTGTGTGCTGAGAAAAGGGCTATTTCCCCTTGTCAGGAAGAATTTCCTTGAGTTCGCAGTGTGAAAAGTGCGTGTTTTGTGACACAGAAGCGATTCAGTGACTCCTGTTTTCGGCCAGGCTCGCCTGGCTTAATCTGCAAAACCGCAGGACAAATCAATACGGTGTGTGTGAAAGCCAGTGTTGAGGAATTTTCATCAATATCGCATTTTGGTGGGGTGATTCGTGAGCAGAAGGACAGCGCGGAAAGGATGGAAAAGGTAAATACATCAGACCCGTGTTCGCCACCCTTTTCGTGAGAATTCGCCGGAAAATTCACCCTCCACTTCCTGGGAAATGTGTCGATGTCCATGAGTCTGCTTGACGATTTTTTATTGCGATTCCGTGGCGGCAAAGACGCGCAATAGCTCAAGAGGACAATTGCCTTGGCTCTCTGACCTCGACGATGTCTTAAGGGTGAGATTTACAGCTTCCGAACTGTCTGGCAGAGTTGTCTCAAGACATTCCCTGAATCCAAAGACACCCAGGAAATTGAATTGAACTCCAGCGAGAGGAAGAGAGTGAGAACATTGAGATTTATGACTCTGGGAGATGCTCTTGAGGAAATTACCTGCACTATTTCCATTCCGCCCATTTTCCCTTCGTTCAACCACAACATTTCACTGCATTTCACTGAAAATGAACCGGGAATTGTGTCTCTCTATCGAAGAGTTTGTTGATCGCTCGAAGGTCGTTGGCTGGTCGGTGTGTTGTTTTACCTCAACCTGAATGGATCACAATATTACGGACGAGATCGTGGCCCTGTGTTGGGCGAAAAAAGCCATCACGCCGATGGCTTTCAATTATACGATTCCTTTGAATGGAGCAAAAGCGTGTGTATTTCAACCACCGTTTGGTGAAGTTTTGCAAATCATTTCATTTATAATTCACACATCTTCTGCTTCATCACCTTTTCGGGGGCAACAATCCTTCCACAACTTGTGATGTAACCGACCGAGCAAGTCCTTTTCCATGTCCTTGGGAGACATGAAGGATCCTCAAGATGCCATTCTGCACAACTTTTCCTTCTCACTTCGATGGTGTGTAAACAAGGAGAGAAAATCGATTGCAATGTTCTGCTGTGCATGGAATTAGATGAATTTCTCAAGGGGAAGATAATATGGCTAAAATCTTTACACCCTTTTTCTCACACTTCCGCAATTTCTATGAAAAATCCTCAACACTTCCCGAGATTTCAGACTTCACAGATTCTTTTAAGACAAGACTAAAATCAACTGAAAACTAACCAAAATCTAACTAAACAATTATATAATTAATTTTCAGGCCTTTCTGACATTAAAGTAATCAAAGGAAAATCTGAACTATGGACCAAATATTGCAAAAATTTAAACACTTCCACTTCCTGAAACTTCTACTGCTGTGTACATCACTTTTTCCATATTATCTCCCCCTGGAATTCCTCACTGATGCATTCCGCTTCTGCAACTTTATCCCCAATCTCCCGATAAATGGGTGGTGTTGGGATGATTCCGCTTTACGAGCAGAGATTTGGCATTCCAAAAAAAGATAAGAAATTTGCAGAATGCAATTCAGTTGCTTCGAGGGCTCTTTTGCTATTCCAGAATTTCGATTTGCTGTAAAAGTCGTACAGGAATTTGGAATAATATCAAGCAATATGGCAAATAAGGATATCGATAAAATGTGGTGTTTATGGTTTGCTTGTAATTTTCCAAAATTCCTCTTATAAATACAAATTTTTTTCATAAAATAAATTTGTAATGAGATTTTTCCACACTGGGCTTGAATACAGCTTAACCTTAAGACACTAACAAGATTTATGATCTGCCAGAGTTATGACTTCATTAGCATATGCATTGTCACTTGAGCTTAAAACATTCGTGCTTTCACTATAATTGACTGTCTTTCAATTAGTCTCACTCCTTATCTCAAGTTCTGTACAAGTTTACGGTCCTTCTTGGCTATGCATGGAATTAGTCAAAAATAATCTGTGCCATTTTCATGGCTGTGCCGAAATATTACCCTTATCTTTACGATGACAATTGTAAGTTGGGCGTGAATAATCCCGAGTGTTGCGCGATATTTGTTGTGTTTGGAGGGTTAAATTGAAAAGTTTTGTCCTCAAGTTTTGGTGTCTTGTGACACAATTCCGTGATTTATTTATAAACACCCGATGTACACTTTAGTGCCTTCTTATTGTTTGCATGGCTGTGCAATTTATTCTCGGGCGAAGCGACACTGTCCCATAGTGGCTGAATAAATGCTAATTATTATAAATAACTCGCAGGTTCACGCGAGTGAGTGAGTGAGAGGAGAGATGGATGGAGAATTTTGCGTAATTATCCCATCAATATTGTGCATATCGGCGGTGTTATAATGTATGGGAATGCAATTGGTTGGCGACCGCAATGAAAATTGCATGATGACCATGGCTGTTGAGAGCTCCCGTTCACCGTTTCCAATTTTCCATTGTCTCTCTCTGCACATTTTTCTGACCTCTTGCCACATTTCCAATGCTACTGGATGGGTTTTCTATGCAAATTGGCGCTCATTGATGCGATATATGTGGAAGTGGCTTTACGCAAAACCCCCCGAAAATTGGGCGGGTGGGAAAAGTCGGCATTCGACCCACAATAGCATTTACAAATTGTTGTGGCTCCTCCTCACAACTACACGCCATTCTTCACAGCTGAAAAGGACACTTCCTGCTGCTCTCCGAGCGTCCCGGGAAATGTGTTAATTTGTGCTATAAATCTGCCACTTTGCGATTATCTCTTGATACCATTTTAGTGATTCAGCACACACGGAGAGACGACAAATCCACAATTTATTTGCTATATGGCCATTCTCTCAGCACTGCCACTTTTACTACATTCTTGCCATCAAGTGCATTGCATGATCATATGTACTTGTGGCGAAGATGGAGGAAGAGATGCTGAGAATCTTATGCGAAACTTATATGGTTGAGAAGCGACTGTGTATACGAAATAGCAAAGATTCATCTCGTGCTATTCTTCCTAAGCTATAAGAGAGTGCAAGGGAGTCGTTAAATTGATGGGAACATCACAAGTGATTCATCTTCGAATCCACGCAGAGATTCTCGCTCTCCCGGCGTTATTGATTAGTTTTTTTTTTGTAACAAATCCATAGCAAGATTCTTTGTATTGCAATTTCCAACTTAATGGGGCGCAGCTGAGGATGGACGGAAAGTCTCAATGGGCAATTGTGTATTTTCATCATTTCACAATCCATGCATTGAATATTGTATTTGGATCGTGAATGAAATTGCACAGATTTGGTGCTTTAATTTATGATTTTTCCCTTTTGCCACAAATTGATTTATTAGCGCTCATGGGAATCTTATGTGCGCCTTCCACTGTTCTCGGCAAGTGAATTGGAAAGTACGCGCGCGCGCGACGTTGGAGATTAGCTGAGGAATTTACTGAGTGATTCAAATTATGTCTAAACTGTGCATAAAGCTTGATATCCTTGCGTCATGTTGTGATGTTTATCATGTCAGAGGGGAGGAAAAATGCGCCACAAAGGGGAAACAACCCACTTTGATGTCACTGCAGATGATGGTTAAATCTCTGTTCTATTTTCCAAGACATAAAGCTCCCTCTCAGTGGCTCTTTTAAAGCTTCTTCACCGAGGGGGTAAATTGAGTTTGCTGTATGAAATTCCATCATTTAACGTGAGCTGGAATATCCATGGCAGACGTTTTTGCCCTCTCGCATATGGATTGCGCCGAAGAAATTCACACATCAGTTGATTTGGGTGGTGGGGCTTCTTGTTACTCAACCACTATGAATCTCATAAAAATGAAAAAAAGAACCTCCTTCACTTTCTGCGGACTGCAGGAATATTTCATCGGTACGCCGGCGAGGGTGAGGTGGAAAGACAGTGTTTGAGGGAATGAGGAAGACCTACAGTGGCAGTGGGTGGAATCCTCGTGTGATTTACTGAATTTCACATTGAAATAAATAGCCACTCATTTCTTTTTCGCACTCCCGATGAAGGGGGTGGAAGAATTGTGTTGACTCGACACACAACTTTGGAGCAACTTTCCTTCGCCCGAGTGAAATGCATCAGAAGAATGTGACTGACGAAGATGGGAAACCGGGTGACTTTATGCATTTCAATGGTGTTACTCTACTTTTCTTTCACCACCTTAATTGACACTCTTTTCTTCTTTTCTTCTTGAAGAAACCAACGGAGTCATTATGCGATTTTTCATCGTGTCTTATCCGCAATATAATGCAAATGCATTTCACAATTTTTTCCCCTAACGGAACTGTGACGGTGTTAATTACGCGAAATACTAACACGAAATGGGAAGATCTTGGCGAAAAAAAAATCGGGATGCCTTTTTTGTGCACTGAAAAATATGGGAAAATTCTCTTTCAGCGCTGCTTTTTTATCATCTTGAGTAATAACATAAGATGAATGGGTTTTGTTCGTGAGACGGCAGAAGAGTGGCGAAAAAAACGAATAGTGCATTCATCTTGAATATTGGCAATGGAAATATTTGAGCTGCAGATTGAAATTAATGGACTTGTAGTGTTTAATAATTCCGCTGAGCGTTGTAACTTCCTCAATGGCTCGTGGGAATTGATATTGATTGATTGAAATGTTGTGGGATGGATAATAAATTTCGCAGCTGATCAGGGAAAGCCTCACGAAGTTGCTCATCAATTTCATTGAGATGTATGTATTTTCCCCGCTTGACTAATGAGCTCTAATCATGATTGCAAGCGGCTTTGATCGTCTCAAAGTATAATTTTGAAATTTATATGCACCCGTTTTGTAAAACAACTTCAACCGTCTCTTAATGATTTTATTTCATATGGATGAATGCATATTTACAAAAATTACAGTATTACGAAATAAATTCTGACTCTTGATGAGGTTAAGCTTTAAAGGCAAAATTTTTCCATCGGGGTTTGAGAAATTCCGCTTAAGTCGCGCTTGAAGTTTCGTTGTATTTCCAGCATTACCTGAATATGAATCAAGTTGTACACCTCCAAATGGTTCAATGCATACAGACAATCTCTGTTTCCAGTTGACCAATTGTGGGTTCTTTTCAGAACTTCCTCCATATATACAGTGACTCAAAAGATGACCAATTTTAAAAACGTTTTCTAATGTAGATGCGGCGTATCGCATGCATGGCTTGTGAAGCATTCAATTTATGAATAAGTCATTTCTATGAATTTCATACTGTTTTCAGTCCCTGAAGAGA